TACAGAACTAGAAAAAGGTTCAAAAAACAGCAACCAAGATGATTTAAGAAGAGGAAAGGCTAATCTAGGACTTTTCATAGAGACAACTGGGGAGGGGCATGTTTAAGGTATACAAAATCATGCACGGGGTGCAGAAAGTAGATAGGGAAGGGAGAAAAAGCTCCCGAATACCAGACCTCAGGGTTCACAATGAAGTTGATGGGCAATAGATTCAGGACAAAGTAAATGTTCATCCAATGAGTGTCATTCACTCTTGCTGGATGTAGCATAAGGTAAGGTTTCCCTTGCTCGAAAGCCAGTCAGATCCGACTCTAGGGTTGCAGTGCTCATCTCCATTTCCAAGCTCAAGAGCCAGCGCTGTCTGAAGACATCTCCGTGGTCATGTGGCTGGCATGACTAAATGCCGAGGCACACGGAACGCTGTTACCTTTCCACCAAAGCGGTACCTATTTATCTGCTTGCAATTTCTTGCTTTCGAACTGCTAGGTTGGCAGGAGCTGGAACCAGAGATGGGAGCTCAAGACCCAAGTGCCGCACCCCCATGCGGCACTTGGGTCTTGAACTGCTGAACTACCGACCTTCCGGTCTGCAGTTCAGTGTCTTAACCACTTGAGCTACCGCAGCTCCTGCATGTAGCATAGGTAGCTTCAAAAGAGCATTAGACAAAAATCATGGAAATGAGGTCCATCGCTGGCTACTAGCCGTGGTGTCTAAAGGGAACCTTTGCACACAAAAGGTTGCACATCCCGAGTGCCAGGAAGCAGCATCGGGGAAAGACTTGGCCTCTATTTCATTAGCCAGTCCGGTCCGCCAGGGCAACTGGTTGTCATTGTGTGAAACGGGATGCTGGACTAGCTGGCCCACGCGTCTAACCCAACAAGGCTCTGATGTACACTGGTTCTGATGTGTAGCGAGGGCTTTACAGAAGGCAGGCTAAGCAGAAGGAACATGTCACAGTGCTGAGTAAGCACTGTACAAACCACCATCAGAGATACTCATTTCAATATATTAACTGATGTTAAGATTCCTGGGGAGGCTGGAGTCGGTGGCTACCTCTGATTTGAGTCTCTCCACAACTCGTCTCGGTGCCTCGGCCACAGGAGAAAGAAAGCGTGCAGCAGGAGGGAAGATTCCAAGCAACAGCATAGCAAATACATTCTGAATACTAAACCCCTTGAAGTCAGCGTGAGCTGCTGCAGAAAAGATGGCCCTTCTAGTATAAAAGCACAGGGAAGACTAGGGATTGTCTTCACTTTTAGAGAATGCATGTACGGCAGGGATGGCCAGGCCCATGTTTTGTCATGGGACAGGAGTAGCCGGCAGAAGAGCTACATGGGCACTGGGATGAGTGCAGGAGTCCACAGAAACACATTCTATGTGCTGCATCCGGCTGCAAGTTTGGGGGAGCAGACGGGCTGGGCCCAGCTTCGTCACCAGAGAAGAGGCACCTGCAGTGACTCCTCCATTTGCGTCTGTCGGCTTTCCCCTTATTCGGAAGCCATCTCTCTGGCCATACTGATCCAAGCGACAATGACCTCCAGGCTTGACCATTGGGATGAGCTCTACATGGGACTGCCCGGAAACTGTGATCGGTGCAAAATGTGGCAGTCCATCTGTCACCAGGGTGGACCACGTGGAGCGTCTCACACCTGCTTGCAGTTCCTGGCATTGGTTGCCTAATGATTTCCGAGTCCAGTTCAAGACGCCGGGACTTACCTTAATGACCTCCTCTTCCAGAAAAAGCCTGCGTCGGCAGCTTTGCTCAGTGCAGGATATAGTTGGCTGCTGCCAGATCACAGGCTCTCTCTGTGGTTGCTGCAATGTTACGGGATAGCCTCCCAGAGGATTTGAAGACTTCCATTCTACAGTTTCGAAGGGCTCGCCAAACAGAACTCTTTACAGAAGACTTCTGCTCCTTAAGAGGATGGCTTTGGGTATCTTGAAATACAGCATACTCTGCTGCCCTTTTAAAGTTTTTCTGCTGGTTGTTTCTGCTCCTAGAATTCTATAATTGTTTCTGCTGGTTGTTTTGATCTCTGCTCTTAGAATGATATAATTGGTTCTGATTTTGTCTTGATTTTCCTGCCTCGGACCCCAGTTACCTGGGAGAAAGTCGAGCTTCTGAAATGTTTTATGTAAGTAAGAGAAGAAAGTAATTCTAATATCCAGCCCTGCTGCGAAAAGCTGGAGTAGTGATCTGCCTGCAAGATAATCCTCTGCCTAAAAAGGAAGCCCCTTCTCTGCCTGAGACCTTGGTGAGCGGCTTGGTAACGGGTTATGAAGATCACTGATTTGGCTCACTATGAAGGAGAGTCTTATACCACCGATCTCCAAATTTAGCCAGCCTCAGCTGTGCTCCCCCCCTCCCCAACAGACATACAAAAGAATCCGACCCATCTCCTTGTATTTTCCATTTTTAATAGAGCTTGACAATATATCTCTTCATCTGCATATATCCACCGCATCTATAGCCTATGTGTTTTTTTATACACGGTAAACCGAAACAGAAATAAATTTAAGGGATTGGTTTTAATTATGTTAAACACACACGCAACAACAACAAAAAAATCTGTGAAGTCCAAAAAAAAAAACCCCATAAGAAAATTAAAACCACATTTTTTAAAAAAAAGTGTTTATACTGAAAGCAAAAGTTGTTATCAGGGTGATTGATCATGGTTTCTTAATACATCATACAAGATTTCAACACACAGTCATTATTATAGGCACATTTCTCCCCCACCCCCAAATGTGTAGAAAGTTCAAATCTCAGGGGTTTTTTTTGCATTTAAAGGAATCTGCAAAGTAATTCAGAAGACGCACCTAATTCGATGTGTATCCTGCCCTTTTCTCACTTCCCCTTCCTAACTAAATGGAAAAGCTTCTTAGAAGTCAGCTGCCCCAGATGGACCACCAAGTTCCACACTGAGGGGAAGGGCAGGGGTTGAGATAAGGGGGAGGGGGCTACTCTTTACTGGCTTCAAAATAACAGACCTGCTGAGTCCAGGATAAGCAAGTCTGCGCTATGGGCCATCCCCTGCGGTTATTTGGGGAAAGATTATTATGCGTATGATTACCTAGAGAAAGAAACACGGGAGCCAAACAGAAAGGGGGTGGGGGATGAGAGGATTAGAGGCATCTGTAGCAGCAGTGACCCTGAAGAATTACGGGGGGGGGGGGGAACTTTGGGAGAAAAGAATGGAGACTGCAGCAGCATCTTTGAAAAGCCCAGCGACACTCCAGCAAATTGGTTACTTGAAGAACTCTCAATTTTTCTCGAAGTTAACTTTGGGGGAAGGGCTCCACGAGGCCAACAGTAATCCTTGAGCCCCCCCTCTTGATGCAACGTGCACAAAGGTAGGGGCTTCATTAAAAAACAAAAAACAAACACCGGGCTTTGCTGTATCCAGTCCTTCCCTGCACCCCTCCCCTGACACGTTAAGGAAGACAAGTTTGCTATACTCTTAAGAGAGGGAACACCTCCCACAATTGCCCACGCTCCGAAGGAAAACCTGGCAACAGGATCGGAAGGCACAGCAACCCGAGATGCAACCCAAAAGCAAGCTTCCCAATCTGCCCCTCTCTCCTCCCCTAGAAGGCCCACCCTTCCTAACCGTCACATTTTGCATGACCAAGTCAGCATCTTATAAATATGCTTCTGCAGCCATGCCCCGAGTAGCCTTCAAACACAGAACCGGTTCTTCTTCACAGAATCCGCTCTGCTTTTCTAGTTACAGCCCGGCTCACCTCTTCTGATCACTGACTAAAATCTGGAAGACGAGGTGCTGTCGGTAGAGGCTGCAGATTAAAGGGCTTTACAGCAGCAGACCGACTGCACCTCCTCTTCCCACTTCTTTCCAAAAATGCTCCTCCTCTACCAGCTCTGTTCCCCAACAGTGGGCTTTTCTGCGCACTCTGAATGTTAAAGGGGCTATCGCTCTCGAAGAAAAATCCTCCTCCCGAGCAGATCCATCCCCATCTGACCGCACCTGACACGAGTTCCTTACTGCCTTGAGTCATCCGTGTCCCGTCTTTTTCTTGGAATTAAAATGTTGAAAAGCGGCAAAGCATGCAAGTTCTGCAAACTCGGGACGTGAGAAAGACAGCGACAGCAACTTGTGGACGGGGGCTGAACGTGGGTGTCCGTTTCTGTTTCCACGCACATTGAAACACTGAGCTCTTCTCGCTGTTTGCCTCTGGAGAGGGAGCAAAACACCAGCCCCCCCCCTCCACCTCCAGCAAAAGATTAAAGCCAATTCATTTCTACTCAAGAGGTCTTTGCATAGACTCCTTCCTGAGCAGGAGCTACACAGTTATTGCTTTGTGAAGCAAGTTAGGGGAGTCGCTAGCCACTACGGAGCTGGGACCTCCGACTCAACCAGCATCTCTCTCTTTGATGCAACCTTGGAGAGAAGCCTCCTTGACCTTTCCCCTGGCATGAGCAACCTGCACAAGCTGATCGTCTAGCAACAGTCTCTTACAAATCTATTTTTCAGTTTAGCGTGTTTTACAGGGACGGGAGCTGGCTGCTGCAAGCCGATTCCTGGCTGGGGCGGTGCCACCTTTCCCCAAGGGACGGGAAGCAAAATGGCAATGCGGCAGCAGCCAGCTTTTACTCTGCATGCCCCCGCTCCTCCACGCCTTCTTGAACCCTGAGCAAGGCAGGTATCGTGGCAGGAACCGCACCGGGGTTAGAATCGAGACTTCCAGCTGCTCGCTTCCAGGTAACTGTCCAGTTTCCCCCCCGGCGGGAGACGATCCAGCAGGGTCGATGACCAGAAAGGCCGCTGCGTTCCTCTCCGTCGGGGAGGGGGAAGCTATACCACCTCACCGCCTCCCTCCGTTTACTTCGAAAAAATTTAAAGAAAGTAAATACTGTTCCAACAGACATGCTACAATAGAAGTGCATACATAGCTGTAGGTGACACACGAGATGCTCCGGAGAGGGTGCGCCCCGTTTCCTCGGACGTGCGCTGCTGCTTTGACGGAATCTACACTGGTGGTGCGGGTGGGTTGTGTGTGTGGCTGCGTTGTGCATGTACACGGAAGCAGAAGGACCCTGTCTCTCCCTCTTGTCCGTTCTCCCATGCCTGGAACAAGCTCCGGTGCTTGCGCTGTTCCTACGGACAAAAAACTACCCTATCCCCAAAACCACAAGTCTTGCTCATTAAACATTCCAGAGACTTGTCAATTTGTTGGGATAGTTAATGGCAAGGCTAATAGCAGCAATGTTTTTCAGGGCCTGTTTGGGGAGGGGGGGGAGAGAGAGAGGGAGAGGGAGAGAGAGAGAGAGAGATGAGTGTCAGCGAGGCAAAGACCAAGCGAAACATCAAAATAGCAGATTCCCATCCCTCCACAATGATGGTGCTGATCCTGCTGGTCCAACAAGGGCGCTGGGGGGGTGAAAATTGGGGGGGGGTGGACACAGGGAGGTGGAGGATTACAGTTCTTGCCGCTCAACACCTTTAGCTCCTTGCGAGTGCTGCCGCCTGTCTTTCCCAGCTCAATGAGAAAGTTCACAGGAGTATCCTGAGGTTGTATCTAGTGATGAACAGGATTGAAAGGACACAAACGGGCAATTCTTCGTATTCTGCGCCTGGGTTGTGGAACAGCACAGCAAAGACCTGCCCGACCCCTTTCGGCATTTTTAGCGTGCTGTACGGGGGCAATCGGGCAATCTCAGGCTTGTTTCTGTGTGCGTTCTCACAGGAAGCCACAGCCGGCTGATCAAAAATCCCCGACTAGCGTACTTCTTTGATGCACACCCGCTGCACTTAAAACCATGCACAGTGCAATCCTAAATGGGGTTACACCCTCTAAATCCACTTGGAAGAGGGCTGTGGCGCAGTAGCAGAGCATCTGCTTGGCATGTAGAATGCCCCAGGTTCGAACTCCAGCATCTCCTGCTAAAAAGATCAGGCAGTAGAGGATGTGGAAGGCCTCCGCCTGAGACGCTGGAGGGCCGCTGCCATCTGAGTAGACGATACTGCCTCTGAGGGACCAAGGACCTGACTCAAGAGAAGGAGCTTCATGTGTCGTCATGGGAAGGAGGACTGCCCTGGCAGTGCATGATGGGGTGCTTGTGAGAAAATGATTGTGCTGACGCGTAAGTTTCGGTTAGCTGGGTAAGAGAGTAGTTATGGCAAGATGACTGGCCCACATCAGAAAGCTCAAACTATGGACTTCCGGTTGATGGCGGCGTGCTAGCAGACTCGCCTCCCGGACCTCCCGGGAGTGAAGCTGCGCTCCAGCAGAAGGAGGGGGTGCGCAGGATCGTCACCCCCCAAGGGACCCGGTTGAAGGGGCTGTGGCCATGGGACTCTTGAGAGGTCGCCTCTTCGCCGGCGCGATGCCGGGGAATTGAGGCACTTCTCCATCCCGACGGTTCTTCATGCTGCGAGACCGAATGGAACTAAGTGACGCTGACCGGGGCAAGCGCAGGAGATGCTTTGAAATTACTGCTACATTGTATGTTCTGATTTTGTGTACTTCTGGCTATTATGCCCAAATATTGTATTTTGTACATTCTGAGTACTTATGCTTTAGTATAAAATTGATTACAATTGCTTATAACTTAATAGTTCTTGAATGTTCATACCTTCTTAGGTTTTTCATCCCCAGTTTCTCTTAAATTGCTGATTCTGTATAAGGCAGCATCGTATTCTTTGCATGCCTGACTGGGCTTTGACATGAGAGCAACACATCCCCAGGGTCCTGAGAGGTAGGCACGTCGCAGGCCACAACATTCTTCCTCTCGAACCAAAGTTCAGATTCTGCCCAGATGCCTTTCCAGTTACATTCAAATGGGCCTTGCAAAATGTGCCACAGACATGTCTTTTAGGTTTTACTTTTGAGGTGGAAACCTTTTGGACGCAGTTTTCTACAGGCCATCAAAGAGAAGAGCTTTCGATTTGGGGGGAGGAACCCTCATACTAGGGAGCTCTTTTAGGAATAGCTGCTTGTAGGCAGAGGCAGTGAGAGAGAAGGCGACGGCTGAGCAGCACCCTGCACCAGCAGCTAAAAGTGTCTTTTCTGTAACCGTTTGCTTTGACAGCAAACAATTCAGAACAGAGGGGGGGCTTTGTTCATGCCAACACATGCTGTCCCTAATACCTTGAGGGCAGCCACACAGGAAAGAACTCAAGCAGATCTGGACAAGAAATAGGGACAAGAACACTTTGTGATCAGCAAAGTAATTCATAACCCGGCTGAACAAGGGCAGTTATGCAACTGTGGGCTGGGGGCGCCACTAGGGCAGGGCCCCCACATGATCACATAACGGAAGGAAATTTCATTTTCAGCATGTGATGGTTAGATATGTTTTCAAGGGGAACAGATTGCGAAAGCCAAGCCACCAGCTTCCACCAGAGGCTTATTGGGAGTAGCAGGGCCGGTGGGATGGCGTCACTGAGGATTCTCAGAGACTTCGACACCTGTAGCTATCGAATGCGGCCAGAAGAAAAAGGAGGAGATTGGAGGAATGTGAAACACCTGCACATCAACTTCCAGGAGGGGCAGTTCTTTTATGGACAACAGTTTCTCAGCACAAGGGGTAAGAGGAAACAGAAACGGGAGTATCGGACATAGATATTCTTACAGCCACTTTCGGCTCACTACAGATCAACAATCACGTCTTACAAGGCCAGTCCAGAAGGAGCTCCTATTCTACACTTTTAATGGGAATATAATCTCCCCCTCCTTTTTTAAAGGGGGAAAAAAATCTATGCAGTATCAAGCAGTGTTCCCTCTAAGCTGAGTTAGTGTGAGCTAACTCACAGTTTTTTAGCCTCCAGCTTACAGATTTTTGTCTTGGCTTACGAAGGATGGCTCCAGAGCAAACTAATGTATGCAGTAGCCAAACCGCTCACTCACAACTTTAATGCCAGCAGCTCACAGAGTAGAATTTTTGCTCTCAAGACTCCGCAGCTTAGAGGGAGCACGGGTATCAAGTCCAGGGGTAGAAATGGAAGCCTGTGACCTGTGCATCAAAATGTCTAATGATGACATTAAACAAGGAGCTAGGGAACAAATCCAGGGGGATATCAAGAGACATGAGGTCATCGGTCAACATGGGTCAAAGCCACATGCTATTTACTGGCTTTTTAAAAAATTCGGCACCCATCCTCCAAGGAGCAGTGTCCCAAATCTCTCTGCGCACAACAAGTTGTGTCAAGCAGGAGGGATGTGATCAGACACGCCGGGGACTTTTACCTGTGCTGTACAGCGGTGAAGATGGTCTTCCGTATTTAAGGCAAGCAAGTATTCCTGCAGAGTTCCAAGTTCCTGTAAATGTGAAGGGAGAAAAAGAAAGTATTTTTGCCACTGGATTACACAGTAACCCTATGAATTCCCTCCCCCGTAATACATGGCAAGGTAAGCAGTGAAGCAAAACAAAGAGAAGCGAAACTGAAACCTTGACATATGCATGCGCGTGCACACCCACCTCTCTGCTAAAAAGCCAAAATAAATTCTGCAACTTCCACTTTTGCTGTCTTTCACTGCATCTCAAAAGGATTTCCCCCCCTGCACATCTGATCCAAGGACTGCGGCACACTCAATGCTTACTCCAGTCAGGATCAGAATGTGAAGAAAAACAGCAATCCTCATGAAAGTAAAACAAGCACTCCGGTATAACTCCCATAAAGGGGCATTTTGCTAAATTATCTTAGGTCACAAACTTTACCTAGGAGAGCCTTTTGAAAAGAGGCAAGAGGAACAGAAGAACAGCCTAAACTTATTTGTTTGCATTCTCGACACTTGGAGAGAAGTGTGTGTGTGTGTGGGGGGGGGACACTTACACTGACTCTGTTTTCAGTAACAAAGAAAAGTTCGGTCAGCGCCCGGTGAAGTGGGAGGAGGATTCCCGGCTTTGTCATGTCGACGCGCATGTTGTTCTCCATGCGGGTGAAAAGCTCCCACAGTGGCTTCAGTAACGTGAGGTCGCAGTCCCTGGGAGGAAAAAAGGATGAAATCAACACAGGAAAGGCCCTAAGGCCCCTACGGCGTAAGCAGCCTATGACTTGATTGACACCAGTGTTCCCTCTAAGCCGAGTGTGACCTAGCTCACAGTTTTTTAGTCTCCGGCTCACCCATTTTTCTCTTAGCTCAGGGAGGATGGCTCCAGAGAAAACCAATTTATGCAGCAGCCGAATCGCTCGCTCACAACTTTAATGCCAGCAGCTCACAAAGTAGAATTTCTGCTCACAGGACTCCACAGTTTAGAGGGAGCCTTGCTTGACACCCATGAAAGGGTGAGGTGAAGGCAGAGTTCCAAGGTGGCAGGAATGGCCCACACCCTATCTGACTCCAGCACTGCGAGGGGAGGCTCGGGGGAGCACCCTTTCTCTCTCATGTGCTGCTTTTGCAGATTTAGGCATGCCTGCGCTGTTTCACAAGGCATAATTATAGTGCTTCAATTAGGAGCCGCCACTGATGAATGAGCTATTAAAAACTGGACTATTATGGCCCTCGTACTACTGGCATTAAGAACAACTTTGGACACTGGCCTAGCTACATCGGACCACCTTACAGCAATCGCCATCTGCACTCAACTGCATTTTATGTATATCGTTTCTTGTATGAAATTTTATAATATCGCACTTATGTATCTGTGTTTTATTGTTTTTTAACCTGTTGTATGCCCCCTTGAGCCTGCCTGTGCAGGCAAGGGTGGGATATAAATAAATAAATAAACAAATAAAATGCCGCTTTTCATCCATACAGGGCTCTGATAGCAGAGCAAGGAAAAGGACTTGCGCAAACAGGTTGGTGGTGGAGGAGACGAGATGATTCTCGAGTCTGAAATGGGAAAAGGTATCCCCGCACCTTAACCTGAATGTGGGCAATGGGGCACAGGAGGATTTTACAAACCGCTCCCTTTCAACGCTGTTGCGTACTACGCCCGTGAAGGTCAAGAATGCTTTTATATGGAAGCTGCACGAGCTCCCTGTTATCATTTCAGCATTAGAGATCTTGAAGATCCATTACGTGATACGTCCAAGGTGTCTTTTATTACCTTCTTATTTTAAAGCAAAGCTAGACTACCCGAAGAGGGCCACCAAGAAGGAAGCTTTAAAACAATAATTAAGGGTTGTCAAGTCACAACTGACCTGCGGCGACCCCTCAAAGGCTTTTCAAGGCAAGTGGACGGCGGAGGTGGTCTGCCATCACCCGCCTCTGTGTAGCGATCCTAGAATTCCTTGGTGGTCTCCCATCCATAAACTAATCAGGGCTGAGGCTGCTCAGTTCCCAGGCTCTGACAAGCTTGGGCTAGTCTGGACTATTCGGGCTGCTAAGGAAGCTTTAAAGGGCTGAAAAGAAAAACGGCTGGTACCGTCATGTGCTTGTGTAGCTCGTCATGGCAAGGCTGGTGGATCAAAACCACCCCAAAGGCGGAAGCGCTTGCAGGTTCTGTGGCAAACATGCCACTGAGCCGGCAGCCAGCATTTGTGGAGACATGAGGGCCCAGGAGGTCAAAGCTCCCAGCGGAAACTCAAGGATGTTTTAATTGGCATCCCTTTTTTGAAAAAATTCTTTTCATGCAAGAATGATTCTTAGCTTTCCTTTTTACCGTTCTGTAATACACTTAACACATTATCTTGTAAAATAAAGGTTAAAATTGTAGCCCTCAAAGCCACAAGACGGGATTTCAGCTGTTTGAGTTTGTGCAGATATGAGGATGAGCAGTGCAGGCAATGGAATGGAGACTTAGCAGGCATACCTTTGGCTGCAGCACTGCACTATCTTCAGGAGCAAGTGGATGGCTTTCAATCGCTGGTGGCCCGTTTGTCGACAGGCCACGCCCACCTGCCACTCCCAAACTTTGGCCAGTGGAATATGAGGGACCACCCTTTCCTCTGACAGCATCTGTTTTAGGATCTCAAACCCTGGAATTCAAAACACAGTCAGAGGGTACTTTTTATGGCACCTTTTTACATTTTTTATACATGGCTATTATTATTTATTTATCAAAATGCTTTCTACCCCACATTTCAAAAGCAGCCTTTTTGCTGTAAGCGACATGGAAAACAATGAAACACCAATAAAACCTAACAGAATATAGCCAAACCAGGAGGAGGCAACACAATCTTATGGGAACTCCCCCAAAGCATGTAGAAATAAAGTGCCCAAATGTCAGAAATGAAGCTGCTGGGCAAAACTTGTAGAGGAAGCCATTCCAAAGATTTCGGCCACTACCAAGAAAGTCCTGTCTGCCGTAGCTCCCACCTTCTCTGAGAAGACCGGGGGGGGGGGGGGGGGGGGGGGGAGCAAAGAATCTCCACGCTTCAGCCAACCCAGAAACTTATAAGTTACAACGGTGGTTCCCAATCTTTTTGAGTATGGGGACCCCCCTTCTAATATCAAATAATTCCGCAAACCACCCCATATGACAGTAGTTATACCGTTAATATGCATTGATTGAGAATATGCATATTGTCAAAAAGATCAAAATGATAACTGCTTAGGGTGCGTATGGATTCACAGAGCCTTTGCAATAATTCCGCGGCCCTCCCAGCGGTCCCTGGCCCTCTGATTAGGAGCCACTGAGTTACAACATACAAAAGAGATCGTATACAAATGATCAGAGCAGTATTTTGCACCTGCCCTTCCAGATCATACTTCAAACTCCATGCTACGCAATGAACACAAAAGCCTCTGCATCACTGTACATAATGTTAAACCTCATCACACACACACCCCAAGACATCCATGTAAAGAACAGTTCTCATGCCAAGACATCCTAGTTTCACAAAAACACCACTAGGAGGCTCCTCAGTGTACCGCTCTGACCAGCGCTCACCTGTTTGGAACCTCCCCAGGTGACCGGCCGTCACTGTAAACTTGTAGCCCCATTCAGTGTTGCTCATGTCGGATGTAAATCGATAGTACAGTGTATCTCCTGTCGAGCAGAAAGGAAAGAGTCACACAAGCTCACACTAACTCACTGTGTGCAAGTAGTTTTTAAAAAATGTCTGAACATATGAGACTGCCCTCTCCCAAGTCAAGACACTGATCCATCCAGCTCTGCACAAGATACCCTGACTGGAGGATGGCTCTCCAGGTCTGAAGTGGAGGAAGGATCTTGTCCAGCTTCTGTGGGAGGGCTTCTAATGTCCTGGCCCCACTGGTGGACCTCCTGACGGCACCTGGTATTTCAGGCCACTGTGTGATACAGAGTGTTGGACTGGATGGGCCTTTGGCCTGATCCAACATTGGCATCTCTTGTGTTCTTATGTTCTGATACTTAACTGAAAATGCTGAGGACTGAACCTGGATGCAAAAAACTTGCTGTCCACAATGGGAAGCATAATCCTCACTCTGCCTTTTTCAACAAACATGGTAATAGACAGGGGAGAAAATTATTTGCTTCATGTTGTTCTTTAAAAGCAAGGAATAGTTTTAAATACAATCATTTGCAAGACAAAACAGCCCTGATTCCAAATGCTGAAGTATCTGTTGCTGGCAACTGCTAATAGATTAAGAATGTTTTCTGACAATTGTTTAGAAATATTTTTGACAGGCAACACATCCTGAACAACAGGAGAGCTTTGGGGTGCTCTCTCTCTCATTAATAAGCTGTTCTGTAAGTGACACACGGGGAGGGATGAGTCATGGTGAGCGTGGTATAAGACATATGGAGTTTTTTGTTCTCTGCCAAGCTGGGGGGAATGAAACCAACGCAGGCTAGAGGGACTTTTGGGAGAGAAAGGAATCAGGTCGGAACTGAACTCCCATTAGTCAGCAACTGATTCAACTGCGGCCCAATTCTCTAAACACACTGGAATGCATCATATCAACATTCTCAGAAGAGCCTTCATTCATAAGACTGCCATAGGTAAAGATTTCCCTTGCTTGAAAGCCTGTTGAAACCAACTCTAGGGTTGCGGCGCTCATCTCAGTTTCCAAGCCAAAGAGCCAGTGCTGTCCGAAGACATTTCCGTGGTCATGTGGCCGGCATGACTAGACGCCAAGGTGCACGGAATGCTGTTATCTTCCCACCAAAGTGGTACCTATTTATCTACTTGCAATTTCTTGCTTTCGAACTGCTAGGTTGGCAGGAGCTGGAACCAGAGACGGGAGCTCACTCCGTCATGCGGCACTCGGATCTTGAACTGCTGAACTACCAACCTTCCGGTCTGCAGTTCAGCCTCTTAACCACTTGAGCCACCGCAGCCATACTGAACCTCAAAAGAGCTATAAACGACTCTCTTTGCACTCTCCCGGGCTACCAACTAAACTGGAGAGGGATCCCAGACAGCATCAACCACAGTTAGTGTTGAGGTAGATATAATGGTAAATTGTAGTTAAATGGAGAGAGGAATTCATAGAGAGAGAATGGGAGGGAATCTCCATTTCCCCATGGGCAGCGTTTGATTGCCAAGTATGGGTTGCAGGCAGTAACCATTATGTCTGCACTGGGCCAGCGAAGCACAATCGCTGAAAACACTGCATGCAATGTGGGTTCTAAATCAAATCGAGCCAGCTAAACTGAGGCTATCATACTTGGGTCACATTATGAGAAGAGTCGCTGGAAACACAATCAGGCTATGAAAAGTTGAAGGCAGCAGGAACAGAGGCAGACCCAACCTGGGATGGATTGGCTCAGTCAAGGAAACCACAAAGGCCCTCAGTTTGCAAGAGCTGAGCAAGGATGTCAACGATAGGATGTTTTGCAGGTCATTAAATTATATAGTTGCCATAAGTTACTTGACAGCACTTAACACACACACACACACACAAAATGTGTAAATAAATAAATGCAATGATGAATGTATTAAATTAGGATCAGTGCAAGGCCAGTTACTGCTTATCAGCAAGGGTTTCTCCTCTCTGAGGAAGTTAATGCATCAGTCACTCCTATACGGTATTTTCGAGATATGCACAATTCTCGTATATGATTAAGGGAATGAAATCAGAGTGTTGGCACTGTCAAAGGGCAAGGGGGTATTGTGCACATCTTTGGTGGGAATGCCCTAAGGCAGTGATGGCGAACCTTTTAGAGACCGAGTGCCCAAACTGCGGCCGAAAACCCACTTATTTATCGCAAAGTGCCAACATGGCGATTTAACCTGAATACTGAGGTTTTACTTTAGAAAAAAACATCTCATACATTAACTTAAGATGATCCAAACAAAGTAAGGAAAGCAATCCCAAATGCTTTCATTTACTTAAAATTATTTGGCAGAGAATTTGACACTTTAACGATGGTCTGGGCCTGGCTGGGGCGATGGCACGTGCCACCTCTGGCACCCGTGCCATAGGTTCGCCACCACTGCCCTAAGGTAATGGAATTTTAGAACCTGAACCTGGAAGAGGTGGATAATTTATGTCGTGTTAAGATTGAGTTGAATGAGAAAGTGTTATTTATGGGACTGCTGGGAAATAATAAAGTAGATAAATCCAAAAGGGATTTATTTAAAGCTATGATTCTAGCTGCTCATGCGGTAATAGCATATGGATGGAAAGATGCTTTAAAATGGACTTCGGAAAGATGGAACCGGTACCTTTATGAATGGATTCAATCAGATATTTTATTGATACTAAAACAGGAAAATACATGGGAAGATAAGGCGTTGGAAATAAAGAAGAAATGGTTTGGGTATATAAGATGGGTAAGAGAAGGGGGGCCCCCAACAATGATGTGTTTATAAAACTCCATAGGGTGTGCTCATGGTTACAGATATAAGATCTTTTTTTCTGGTTGCTAGGGGGAGGGAATAATAAAGGGTAAAACTGATGTATCTGATGTTTGGTTATGTTATGTAATCTGGATGAAAAGGATTATGAATGAATATCAAATGTTAAACATCAACAAAAATAATTAAAAAAGAGATGCCGAAGGAAACCAGGCACCTTTGACATGTAGCGCAGAAAACAGGTCCAAAAAAGAGCTTCACCTGGGAGTTCAAAGTCGGTCCACTTGTGTGGGGGTCCGCTGAAGCTGTGCCGGTCATGCTGCAAGTCACTGCTGCTGGATATGAGCAGTTCATCGCACCCCTCTTCGGTGTTACACTGGGGATCAAACTTGACGGAGAGGTAGATAGCACCGGGGATGTGAACCTTATCCTGTGGAAGACAGCCCAGGCCGACATCAGCAACTCCAGATATGTGGCGCCGCTGCGTGTAAAGGGAACCGAATGGGGTGCAACCCACTGAACGAACCACAGAGCTGAACTGCAGCCTGCTGGGAACATGGAGTTTATGCCAAGAGCATCTAGGCTGGTACCCAGTTTAGTAAGCTATTGAGAACTGTGCACTCAGCCTGGTCGCAACAGGGGAAGCCATGTGATAGGCAGCTGGCAAAGAACACCTGGACTGACCAAACCATAGTTATCGGGGACCAGGGGCAAGCTCTGAGTTGGAGGCACTTATTTATTGACTTCATTTATACCCCATCTTTCTCTCCAATGCGGACCCGAAACAGTTTAAATCCTTTCCCTTCCCTCCATTTTATCCTCACAACCACCCTGAGAGGCAGCCGGGTCGGCTGAGAATGTGCGACTGGCCCAGAGTCACCCAGCAAGCTTCAATAACAGAGTGGGGATTCGAACCTGGGTCTCCCAGATTCCTAGTCTGACACTTGGGACCCTAGACTAGCACGGATGCCGATGCAAAAGACAGATATTCCACTCTTCGGGTAAAACACCTCTGGGTGCAGAGTCTAGACATATCCACCTCCAAAGCAAAACTGCAGCAGAATTACCCAACTCCTCAGAGGAGGCTGTCTACTGCATCTCTTCATGAGTCACTGCTGGGGCCTCCCTCCCTTCCCATCAGGACATACACAGTGATTCATAAGGGACTCTAAGGGGAGGTTGGGTTCACACATTCCTGGTGTCAGAAGAACTGATAGACCCAGTACCTCAAAGTTTGTATTGTTGTTGTAGGGATGTTTGGATTCGCGCACTTGGATGGCCATCCCAGGCTCCTCCATAAACTGACAGGCTGTGAGCGCCATTGTTGCAAGCATGCTTTCGTTGCAGCCACGCAGCACTTTCAGGAGAATCTAGGTGAGGAGAAAGAATGTGTGTGTGTGTGTGGGGAAATCTCATGGAAAAAAATCTCATTATACATACGCACTCACAAAAGTTGAGCACAGTTCACAGCTGAAGAATTGCAGATCCTTGAAAACACAAATGTGCTCGGCTGCCTTTTACTATTGCAGAAACACCACCAAAGAGGAATGCGGTGTCTAAAACTGAATTAATAAAATGCTAAGAAGCACCATCTCCTGCCAACCTAGCAGTTCGAAAGCAAGAAATTGCAAGTAGATAAATAGGTACCCCTTCGGTGGGAAGGCAACAGCGTTCCGTGCGCCTTGGTGTTTAGTCATGCCGGCCACATGACCACGGAAATGTCTTCGGACAGCACTGGCTCTTCGGCTTTGCAACGGAGATGAGCACCGCAACCCTAGAGTCGGATTCGACTGGCTTTCGAGCAAGGGAACCTTTACCTTTACCTTTAAGAAGCACCATGCTATATTATTATATTGGACAGGATACTAACCTATTAAAGGAAGTTCCCGGGACAGTGTTATCAGCGATAACAAAAGTCCCCATGTACATGTAGTGCAGGTGAAGGTACTTTTATTCTAATATTCATCACTTCTACTGATATGAAATTAAGCAAACTCCGGAGCACGGCGGAAGACAGGAGGGCCTGGCGTGATGTGGTCCATGGGGTCGCGAAGAGTCAGACTTGACTGTGCGACTGAACAACAACTGATGTAACTCTAATAGGTTATGTATCCCGCTTGGTCTAATTATATAAGTGTGGTGCTGCTTAGTACTTTATACCTGCGCAGACCAAAGGCCTGCCTCTCAGCTGACAGTGGTAGCAGCCTTCCCAAGCGATGTTATACAGCGACTCCTTTTATCTGGGGGTGCTGGGATTGAACCTGTGACTTTCTGTACATGTTCTAAAACTCAATTCTGGGCTGCAGATTGACCAAAAGTGAAACAGAGCAAGAAGAATTGGGGGGATGTTCTCATTTCCAGCATATCTAGTGTTAGTTTGGTCTTGAAACTTCAGTCAATTGTCCTCTAATCGTGTTCCTTCTCCAGCAGGCGCCTTCCAGCTTGGGACAAAGAGCTGGAAGAGACAGAGGCTGCGATCACACACACTAAATAATCCACTTTCAATGCACTTTCCAGCTGGATTTCACTGTGTGAACTGGCAAAATCCAGTTGGAAAGTGGACTGAAAGTGGATTATTTAGTGTGTGTGATCGCAGCCAGAGAGTAGCTCTTACCAGTGCTCCCTCTAAGCTGAGTTAGTGTGAGCTTGTGTGTCGTAGCCTCTGGCTCACCCATTTTTGTCTTAGCTCAGGAAGGAGGGCTCCAGAGCAAACTAAATTACTCAGTAGCCAAATCACTCGCTCACAACTTTAATGCTAGTAGCTCACAAAGTAGAACTTTTGCTCACAAGATTCCACAGCTTAGAGGGAGCACTGGCTCTTAGATAACCTGACTTTATCTCTTTTTGCTCCCTTTCAAGTTCTCACTGCGCAACAGTCCTGTGTGACAATGAAGCTTGTTGCAATGCTTACTGGAGAAAAACCTCACTGGGCCCTCACCTCTGCTCATACCCCCTCCCTGATTCCCCCATCTGTTCCAAACTCCTTCCCTATGCTGACTATTAGCTGCAAGCCTACGGAGACAGAGGCATTGAATGGCTACCTTTTCCCACAGCTGTTTCTCCTCCAGCTGCATCAGCATGTCCAGGATGTAAGTCATGTGAGCTGGGCCACTGAGCTCCAGCATCTCCTCGCTGATGGCCACGTCGTCGGGCCACTTGGCTAGCAGCAAGGCGAGGACGTGCCTGGCGTAGAGGACTGCTGTCGCCTCGTTGACCCGGTGGAGGTAGCCCCGCACAGCTTTCTTGCTCCTGGAGTCCAACTCCTTCTGCAGCAAGATGGAACTTTTGGTGCGGCGCTGCTTGGCGTAGCTGAGCTGGAGGTCGCTTTCTGTGTTGGTGATGAGCTTCTGAGAGATAGGGTTGGATTCTTCGGTGGCTTTGTCGCTGGGGGCGGGCTTGGACTGCAAGAGAGGAGCAGGCTGGAGGGATTTAGAACATTAAAATTCAGAATCTGTCTTTAAAACAGTCCCCATTTTTTCATCTTTTGACTGAATGCACGGTTGTTACGGGCTGACAGCAAGGGCAGGCTGAAGCCGTTGAACTTCTGCCTATTGTGGTTTCCCCCAAACACTATATCTAAAACGCCTAAACATATTCGGCAGACGCCTTCATAAAAACCTTGTGATTCCATTCGGATGGCAACAAAATGTGTAGCCCTGACCTGGGTGCCCCAGGCTAGCCCAATCTCATCACATCTCAGAAGCTAAGCAGGGTCAGTGCTGATTAGTGTTTGGATGGGAGGCCATCAAGGAAGTCTGGGGTTGCTACACAGAGGCAGGCAATGGCAAACCACCTGTGTTCATCTCGTGCCTTGAAGACCCTACAGCAGGGGTGTCAAACATGCATCCTGGGGGCCAGATCAGGCCCCCGGAGGGCTTCCATCAGGCCCACAGTGGAACTGGCCATCTCCTGCTTCCAGTTCTGCTGCTGCTGCATCACAGCTTACTTCGCCAGACTCTCTCACTCACTCAGCCATTTCATGTTTTCACCTGGGTCCTAGACTCAGAACTCTGAGCATGAGATTTCTGTGGTGAATGCCAATAAATCAAAAAGCAGGTTTGCAGCTTACAGAACTAATGTTTTAAGCATGTTTTTATTTTAAGTAAAAAAAAATCTTTGTGTTTGTGTCCTTCATAAAGTTTATATCTCCGCTACCTGGCATTACATTTTATGACACACATGGCCCGGCCCAACAAAATCTCATTTATGACAGATCCGGCCCTCATAACAAAGGAGTTTGACACCCCTGCCCTACAGGGTCACCGTTAGTAAGCTGTGACCTGACAGCACTTCCCACCATCACCCAGGTGTGCACTTGCATGCCCTAAGGGCCAGGTCATTGTCTGCTATTTTGCCAGCATAGGATTGGATTGCAGAGGCAGGAGAGGATTTGGATTTCTTAGGGGCTTATTCTTTATCAATCTTGTTTACATCAAAACACAGTGAAGAGTCCTCCACGGCACGCCGGTTTTTCATTTCTTTCTTCCCCCTGCAGGCGAACTTCCCTCTTCCTTTACAAAATCCTCATCACTCTATTCCAACAGGGAGCATACCAAACATATGGAGCTGCCGTATACACGATCACAACTTTGGGTCACTCAACACAGTGTCACCTTGTGCGGCTGACAGCAGGTCTCCAAGGTTACGGGCACAGAAATGATTTCCCCCCCACAAACTGCTTGCTTGGGTGATGCTGAGATTCTACACTCGGAAGATGGGCTCTGGCAGGAGCAACAGCCTTGTGTTGTCCCCCCCCCCGTCCCCCCAAATACCTTCGAGTGCGCAAAAGAACCTTCTTTGGGGACAGGAGAATCTTTTATTTCAGACCCTCTGTCGAAAGAGAGCCTCTGAGAACATTTTGGTTTCTACATTATTTCTGAGTGTTTCCATCAGTTCTGCCCTGCACAGGCAGAATGCTAACTGCACCCGTAAGTGAGGGTTGTGTCGAATGCCCTTTTCTGTAACGGAGTAGACAAGCTTGTTTTGGTCATCTGCAGGGAAAGTACGAGCATGAATACATCTGAAGTCTGTTAAACACTTGAGAGAAAAGTCCTAACCATACAGAACAAGAACCAACAACAGTTAAGAAGGAAATTGTTCATATTTATTATTTAAAAGCTCTCATTTTGGAAGATATTCAATGGAGAAGAGTTAAATCACATATGCCATCCTGAATGCCTGGAAGTAAGGGCAGGGAAAAAGAGAGTTAAATCTCTCTCTGCTTCCCTCAGGAGACCACAACCATCTTTTTAAAGATGGTACCGACAGGAGTTACACCAGGCACCCAATTGGCTTCTATTGCTCATATCCCCTGGTGAGGGACAGAAAAACAGCAATGTTATTGATTGAGGCAACTTGGGGGGAACCACTATATCCCGCCCTTACTCCTGCTTTTCTTCTGTTTTGGTGCAGGACAGGACACTCACCAGGCAGGGTAAGATGATCATGTCAGTATCTACTGCTTTGGAACTCTGTTCCTCTGTGCGCAAGCGCTTGCTGGGCTGCCATTTCTGAGCCAGGGTTCGGATCCTCTCATCAGTGGTGACTACATCCCCATCAAATCTTAAACAAACAAGCAAAAAAACACACCAGAGCATTTCACAGTCAGAGGCGGCATCTTTAAAAACAGGATTTACATACCAAGCCTTTCCAATTTGCATGTTCGAAACTATTCTATACCTACCCTTTTCCTCTTCCCAAGTACAACGGCATGTTGTTTTGTATATTTTCCCATTTGTATAAATCACAGGTTGGTTAGGATTGCAAACCAGTCACTGTTTTGCGCCCCTTTCAGACCACATTTGCAAGATGCAAACGGCATCAGAAGCAAACCTAGTTTGCAGCTGGAAAGACTGTTCCCTTATCTCTGCTTCCCACTGAAGCGATGGCCACACCCAGACTGCCAATCCCCTCTCTTTGAGCCTACACCTAATATGAGACATGTGAAAAACAAGACAACTCAGAAGCCATAAAGAGCAGAGTGTGAAATAGAACAGAAAGTAAACAATTACATTTGGACAGTGTACAAGCAACCAGACCTCTGCCTGTCTCCTGGATAACGAGCAGCTCTAACCCCTTCACCACTCTATATGTGAGGACTAAGGCAACTGTATGCTTCCCCATTTAAAACACAGTCCCTGCACACAGAACATTAACCGTATCACGGGGGAAAAGATTCTAAGCCCGTTTCTTTCTAACAGGCTTGTTTTCTGTGTGCAGATTTTTTTTATATGGGGAAGCCCTTTCATGTGAACCTCCAACTGCAGTCTGAAGTGGTGTTTTCTAGGCCACATTCCATTCAAATGGACTAATGGGGAGGCCCTATCAGGTCTGGCTAACGGCCCGCAGGAACAAGTGAATGTACATCAAAATCCTCTAAAACGTATAGGCTGTTCAAATGCTCATCAACCACAGACCACATAAACCTTGAAGGCAGGAAGATGCTCCCCCCCCCCAAAGTTTCCAAAACGGTGAAAATCAGCTCTGTACCCTCTTTTCCTAATTTTTGTCCAACGCCTATTTGTCAAACCACTCTGCGTACCTCTGTTTCTCTGGTCCCAGACTTGGAAATTCTCTTACCTCTTCTGAACCTCCAGGAAGAAAGAATCTGTTCTCTTCATCTGCAATTCATACATGGCCCGAAGGATATGCAGAGGGGCGTCGAGAGCATCGTGCGTCATCTGGAACAAAGTTTGACTGAGATCAGAACAGAGAAGCTGGGGGAGAGGCAGATGGGGGAAAAGGTGCTGGTGCTGTTTCCCCAACCAGAGCAAAGCTGTGCGTGCCTCCTTCTCCTTTGCACAAATGAGAGAGAGAGGAGAAAAGTGGCTACAATAGCTTCAGAGGGGAAGATAAGAATGCAATTGCAGCAGCATCACAGGAGGGGCAGAGAGCTACATTTTAATGGCTTGGAATAAGAAGAAGAGGAAGAGGAAGAGGAGGAAGAGGAAGAGGAAGAAGAGGAAGAAGAGGAAGGAAGAAGAAGAGGAAGAAGAAGAGGAAGAAGAGGAAGAGGAAGAAGAAGAGGGAGAGGAAGAAGAAGAGGGAGAAGAAGAGGGAGAAGAAGAAGAAGAAGAGGAAGAAGAGGAAGAGGAAGAGGAGGAAGAGGAGGAAGAAAGAGGAAGAGGAAGAAGAAGAAGAAGAAGAGGAAGAGGAAGAGGAAGAAGAGGAAGAGGAAGAAGAGGAAGAAGAGGAAGAGGAAGAGGAGGAGGAGGAGATTGGATTCATACCCCGCCCTTCACTGCCCAAAGGAGTCTCGGAGTGGCTTACAAACTCCTTTCCCTTCCCCTCCCCACAAGAGACACCCTGTGAGGTGGGTGGGGCTGAGAGAGCGCTGAGAGGAACTGCTCTTTCTCAAGAACAGCTCTTATCAGAGCTACGGCTTCCCCAAGGCCATCCAGCCAGGTGCAAGTGGAGGAGTGGGGAATCAAACTCACTATACCAAACTGCCCATTCCTGCTCTAAACCAGGGTTTAGTGTGATGTCTGAATTCAGCCAAAGACTGTAAAGGAGCTCAATGTCTGCTAGTAACTTCTCCAGCCATCAAAACAGTGAGACTTTGCCTGTAAATAAAACACCCCAGTCTCCACCCATTCTTAACCCTCATGTCTCAGGGCATTTACCTGCTCAGAGGAGGAAGGCTCTTGTACCCAATATTGTACAGTATGATACAAAGCTGTTTTTCTCTGCGGCTTGGCTCATCTGCAGCCGTGAGAATCCTTACACACCTCCCCTCATGCCCAACAACTATGCATCACAAAAGTACCAGGAAGCAGATTTTGGTGGCTTCGTCCAAGCCCTCCAGGGGGTCAGGCCGGTTCTGGTCTGCCTCAGTAGAAATGACGACAGACTGATCCACCGCCGGCTCCTCATCCCTGTCCTCCAGTCTTGGGTCCTTCCGCTCAGCTAGGGAGCTTATCTCCTTTTTGGAGGAGTAAAGCATGATTGACAAGATCTAGAAGAGGATGACACAGGGCAACCCGCTTTAGAGGGCGCAGGAGAAACCTGGGACCCGACCTGTGAACTAACATACTACACTCTGACGGTATGTTTGTTTTAATTTTATGTATGATAGTTATATATCTGTTGCTTTTCCATCTAAAAAGAAAACGCTCGAGGCAAATCACAATTAAAAAAAAATTATATCTCTTTTATTTACTTCATCTATACCCCACTTTTCTCCCCAAGGTGGCTCACCAACATTCTCCCCACCGCCATTTTATCCTCACAACCCTGTGAGGTAGGTTAGGCTGAGTGTGGGCAACAAGGCCAAAGTCACCCAGCGAGCTTTCAAACTTTCAAACTAATTCCTTAAGCAAGAGAATTTAGCCAGCATCTAAAGAGGAGGACCTAGTGCCTGTTCCTTTTATCTGGAGATATGGGGGATTGAACCTGGGACTTTCTACCTGCCGAGGGGATGCTCATCCTTGGTTATGGCACAGGAAACCAGCTAAGTGACCCTGCAGCACATTTTCACATTGCCTTCCATTTGCAGGCACACTGTGTAGGGCTGCCAAATGGGGGCGGGGAAACCTCCGCTTTGGTTTCTACATTATTTCTGAGTGTTTTCTGAGCGGCGGAATCGGGCCCCGGGGGGAACTCTGCCCCCCGAAGCTGCCCACCAGAGGTGACGCAGCCACGTCGCTCACGTTGGGGGCGTGGCCCAGATTGTCGGGAGGGAAATCATATGGGCCATGCCCCCAACGTGAGCAAACTGGGCCATGCCCCCAACGTGAGCAATGTAGCACATCACTTCCTGTGACGTGCTGGTGGTGCGCGCACGTCCTGGGAGAGCTCCCGGAGCCCGGCAAGGCTCCCCCACCGGCAAGGGTAAGTACACTTGGCAATCCTGACACTGTGACAAAGTCTACGTATCCCCCCACCCTCTTCAAGCACTCACACATCTGTATATACAAAACATGCATCTGAAAAGACGGGTTCTAGTTCATGAAAGGCTATGCCACAACATGCTGGATAGTCTTCAAGGTGCCCCCCAAACTACCACATTTTAATAACTGTGCCGAAGCTGTCCAGCCCAATGAGATGAAAGCACACGAAGCTGTCCAGCCCAATGAGATGAAAGCGCACGTCACCTCTAGGTCTCGGAGAAGCCACGTCTTGCTGAAGCCGGTTCCTTTGCTGCACTTCTTCACCAGCAGCTTAAGCAAGCCCGTCTGAAGGAAGGCAGTGCGGATTTCTTCGAAGGCATGCATCTGCCAAAGACAGGGAAGACACTGATTTGTCAAGTCAGGTGGGTCAGGTCTGGGTGGTGGAAGGCAGGCTTGGCACTCCACCTCAGGTTCCCAAAAGAGGAGCAGGAGAGAAACTTTCACAGATTTATGGTAAACAGACCGTCATCTCCCTATTGATTATTTCTTTCAGACACTGCATAGGCAGCTCACACATACAAATAAAGCAAAACCAAGGAACCATAACAGGTACACATAAAAATAGTTAAGCGACAACAAAGAAGCAATTAAGCCCTGACTTGGATAGCCCAGGCAAGCCTGATCTCCTCGGATCTCGGAAGCTAAGCAGGGCCAACCCCTGGCAAGTACTTGGATGGGAGACCTCCAAGGAATACCAGGGCTGGGATGTAAGCCCCCTCTTTGAAACTTCCAAGCCCCACTAGGGGTCGCCAGAAGCCAACCATGACTTCCAGGCATACACATAAGCACACACAAAATACTCACCAAAAGACAAAGAAGCAATTAACAGAATTATCTAGCACAATGCCTGAACGACAACTGTTCCATGCATTCTGAAATATCCATACTTTCCCTTGTCATCTGAACCTACTGATCTGGTACACCCCTTTCCTTCCAAGGAGCTTGGGGACAGACTACACAGTTCCCCCTTCCCCTGTTTACCCTCACAACAACGGGGGGAGGTAGGCCTAGGCCAAGTGATAGACCCAAGGTGTTCATGGTGAGTCTTATGAACAGTGAGGATTTTGAACTTGGGGTCTCCCAGATCTTAGCCCAATACCCAGTACTACTGCATACTGCTACCCTTCAAAGAAAAGAAGGCAAGACAGCTCCACAAGGTAATTCCCAAACTGTGATGCTGCTACTAACTATCAATGTGACGGAATGGCTAGACTCCTGGACTTTGATTGGGGAGACCTGGGTTCAAATCTCCATGAAGCTGACCGACCTCTTGTGAGGCAAAAATAAGGGAAGGGTGCTGACTGCAGGAAGGGCAGAGGAAACAATGCGATGAAAGAGAGAGGCCTCGTCCTGTGTAGCCGCCCACGACACAGCAGGGGGAGACGGGGCTTCAGAACTGTACCTTGAGCGTTCTGTGAAGTCCCTTCAGAGCCAGAGACAAGACCCAGGATGCTTCCACTGCCTCGGCAAAGCTGCTGTCGATGCTTGTCTGGAGAAGGTGGCTGGTTATGAAAACAAAATGCTGGAGGTATTGGCACAGCTGGCCCTGCGATTCGCTGTCATCTTGGCCACACTTCTGAACTAGCTGGTAGTCTTTCACTAGAAGTAAAGGAGGGCGGGGGGAGGTGATAAAGAAGGGGATCATATTGCTTTCTATTGGTATCTCAACCAAGGTAAGCTTTGTATACTCAAGTCTCGTACATTATATTCTGAGATGCCCATGGCATGAAGCCCTTAGGCTAAAGTACATCACCCCTATTATTCCGCAGCGTAATGGACTCTCCGATCTGGATCTGGTCAAGTTTTTACTCTCAGACCTTGACCACTATGTCTCTAGCAGAATGGCGTTATTCGCCTTAGCGACAAGGAAAATCAGAACGAGTTTAGTTTTTAACGCAAAGTAGAAATAGTATAGGAGTATACTGATATTTTTCTATTGTCTACATTACCATTTTACGACCTGATGTATTATGTTATGGCCTATGGCTAAGACAATAAACTTATACTATACTAGTTATTCAAGTCGGCCCTGAACCTAATACCAAGTAATGTTCGAATGTTGAATACCAGTCCTCTAAGTTGTTTTCATGATTACTTTTTCCCTGTCAATTCTCAGGCCACTTATTGTTACCCCCCCCCCCCCCAATGGGGTTTTCAAGGCAAGAGATGAATGGAGGCTGGCCATTGCCTGCCTCTGCATAAACTTCCCTTGGTGGTCTCCCATCCGAGTACTAACCAGGACCGACCCTGCTTAACGTCTGAGATCTGACGAGAGTGCGCCAGCCTGGGCTATCCAGGTCAGGGCTTCCATTATTTTTGTTGTTGTTTCGCTATCTACACAGAAACAAACAACAGCAAATAACGATTCTTTGCCAAAGGGCTGCAATGTGAATGAAAATCAAGCCAACCTGCTTCTTCCGGCCACAAGACTGAAGGAGTTAGGCAAAACGGAACCCATAAAACCCCAACCCCCATCTGAAAAAGATGCATTTGTGGATCAGCTGATACCTGCCAGCAGTGTTCCCTCTAAGCTGAGTGAGTGTGAGCCAGCTCACGGTTTTTTTAGCCTCCGGCTCACACGTTTTTGTCTTCGCTCAGGAAGGAGGGCTCCAGACCAAACTAATTTATGCAGGAGCCAAATGGCTCGCTCACAACTTTAATGCCGGTAGCTCACAAAGTAGGATTTTTGCTCACAAGACTCCACAGCTTAGAGGGAGCATTGCCTGCCAGCACAGCCTACCCCATGCCCAGCATGTGACTCCCAAGCAAGCAAGCACCTAGTGCATTTGGAGCAGCCAACGGTTGTATTTTACTGTCCATATCTGGAGCACTTCTTATTTTTTGGAAGGAGTGATCAGCTAGTGATTTTGAACACAATCTCGCCTCGTTCCAATACTGCACCCCAACTGTCTGCACAAAAGGAGCAGACCCCCCCCCGCTTCATATTATTAAACCAATTATTATTCCAAGTATAATGAAATCACTGCTTACAAAAAAAAAACCCTTTAAACCATCCAAGAGCATTTTGTGCCAACTGAAGACATATCTTAGCAATATTTTGCTTGCAGCATGTTCTATTACAGGGACAGTGGGTTGTGTAGCCCAAAACCACCTCTCCGCATTGCTATTCTGTTGGATCCAAACATTAATGTCCTGCTCAGGTGTTTACATATTCTCCTTAGATACAGGAAAAATAGGTCCAACAGAAAATATAACCTATTTGGATACTCTTAAAAAATTAACTGACAAAGAATATCCCTAGATGTGTATAATTACCTAAAGATCTATCTAGCCAGTTATACTGGGATGATAATCAATACAAACTTAAGATTTATGGTAAGACAGGTCAGAGGTTGAAAGTAAAGCACAGCAGCCACCCAAGAATATCAGGACACCCTTTCTCATGCAAGGGAAAAGGACATTTTAAAATAGCAGAGTAGGCTTCTCTCATACGTAAATCTCACACTTCCCCAGTTTAAATACACTGGCTGAGAGCCAAAGATTTACTTTAGATGCACACAAGGAGTTGCATAGCTCCTTTGGTCTTTTATCTCTGAAGAACAGATACCCCTGCCACAAACTTTTTGTGGAAATCATCCTACTTTTCAATAGCAACTTGCCATCTGGTATGGGCAAAAATGTGCCCGGAGAGGCAGGGATGCAAGAGACTGAGTGACACAGTTAAAAAAAAACCCTTAAAGACTGGCTCTTTGGATCCCAGTGTTAGTGATCTAGGATTGATCTAAAACACTCATCAGACCTCTGGGTAAATCAGTTCCCAACAACATTCACTTCAAAGAAGGATACGTTTATTGAGACAATGATAGGACCCAGCCAGTACATTGGCTGTGTTAGAACTGAGATTAAAGGCGTAAAAGCAATAGATATACAGGGTTCAAGCAAGGGCCCTAAGAGGTTCAGAACCAATCACCCCATGGGATTTCACCCGCCAAATGTAACTGCCAGCCACCCCCCTCTTAGTGCCATCTGCCCAACATGTAAGTCAAAAGCCAGCATAGAAAAATGAGACTCAAGGCCACTAAAACTTCCCAGGCCAGGTAAGGTGTTTGGTACATCAAAGGCCTTGGAAGTGGAAGTGTTTTGGCTCTGCATTCTTTTACCCCCCCCCCTTCTTGGTTACCATGGCGAACAAGCTGTAAAATGCAAAATGGACAGTGAGTTTGACAACACTAAGGTGAGATCTAAGACCTTCCTTGTTAGTGCATGGGAGCATCAACATTTCAACAATAATTACTCTGGAGACAGTAAGCATGAGATAACCTCTGCCTCTTGGTTTAACATGCTTTCTAGTTTGGCAGAGGCTTTGGGGGTTGGATTAAGGGAAAGAGCATAAGAGAACCTGATTTCCTTTTTCGGGTTTTGACATCCACAACCACTGCCCTGTTCTTCTCTGTGAAGTGCTTTAGAATGATCACGTTGTGGGCTTCGTTTGCATTATCCATGTACACCGAACGAGTGCCCATGCACAGAACCTGTGATGGCAACAACAACAAAAGTCTTCAAGTATCATTTGTCCCACCAGTGTGGTTTTGACTACTAACTATTCCAAATCGTTTCACCTTTATCCTCTTTCCAAAAACATTCTCCCACAACCACTTGGCCTAATAAACTTACCTCTGGAAAGCCAACGAGTACCAATAAGGTGAAGATGTTCGTGTGCTTCAACTGGAAGGGCAGCTGTTTGATGCAATGGTCTGTGAAAGTGGCAATCACCCCATGCCACTGGGTGGAGGAATTCAGCGCTCGAAGGATGTCTGCCATGGTGCACGCCCAGTCTAGGCCTACACGGCTGGAGAGCAACGATTAGAATTAATGGCATGTGCGACAGAGTTCTATGGGTTTTGTTCCTAAAGCAACAGTATTCTACAAAAATGAACAAGGCAGAGCTATTTCCCCACTTGAGAAACCTGACGGACTGGCAAGACAAGCTATGGGAACACCTGGTCATGGCAAAAATTGCTGATTCGCTCAGGTGTGCACAATCAGATACCCCACACCACTCCACATTTGTGTCAACTTGGTTCCCTGTAGTCTCCTATTTACAGATTCTAGATATTCTCCCCCCTAACCCTCTTTATCTGAAGTGGTTAACCTTGTAGGTTTAGACCCCTTCCATTTAAATGACATTCTTGTAGACGGATGCACTGTATTACGCTGTATTGTGCTTTAATTTAAAATTAATAAAGATGATTTTTTAAAAAAGAAAGAAACCTGTTTAGTAATGGCTTCCTGCAAATGTTCAGGGAAGGAATGCTATTGAGGAGACAGATTTCTGTTTCGGTCCCCATCTCAAGAGCGACCTCAGGGTCACCCCGGCTACTAGGAGGCTCATCCTTCTGTGTCTTATGTCAAAATTAGTGTGTCGTTGGGACTTTGTTATATTGTACTTTTGGATAAGATCATAGCAAATTATTTTTTATCACTGGCCTGTGGTCTCGGAGTTGTTTATAACACCGGTTGTTACCTTTGAATGTTATTAATGTTTATTCAATTAAAAAAAAATATATATATTTTAAAATCCTTCTGTGCCTTCACCTCTTTTGCCCCCCTTAGATGGAGGCACATGCCTGCTGCCTAAAATGGTTCCCAGTGTGGCAAAAACTAACGGCTGCAGTTTCCCTCCTACCAAATTTGCTAACCTGGGGAAGGAAAGGTACAAGATATCCAGGTGGCACTGCTCACTAGCAGAGCAAAAGCTCTGAACAAACTGACAGAGCAGGCAAGACTGGAAGCTGGGGGGGGAGGAGGACCTCTGTTGGATTCACGTGGCCTTACACATGGAGAGTGCAAGAGGAGTCCCGTGCTCAAACTGCCCTCCTCTACTGATGGGAGTAAACTGCGTTTCCTAAGGAGCAGCCTCCATGGCTAGAAAGAATTCCAGCTCCCAGATATTCATTCTAGACTTACAGTTCAACAAGTCCTAAAGGCTTAGAGGCAGATGAGTAAAGCAAAAATGGATACAATTTTGTCAAATTCATTGGAATTGCCTGCCCCTTCGTTTGATCTAGTGTTGGACTTCCAAGGCCAGGCAACATAACATGCAACTCTTCCCCCAAAGGCTGTTACTTCCAAACTATGGAGATTCTGGTAGGGAGCTACAGGTAACGAGAGAGAACCACGGATGATGCTGCCTACCCCCCCTCCTAAACCTGGTATTCAGAAGTGCACTGCCTCCAAACTGGAGACTCCATTTAACTGCCTTGTTAATAGACCGATTTCTCCACGGATTTGCCCAACGCCTTTCGAAGCCATCTGGCAGCTGTCTGGAGAGGCAGCATTTAAATATTCTAAATAAATCTAAGCTAATGGCTGTCTCCACCTCTGGTGCCAGTGAGTGCCAATGTTCACACGGCCTGAGGGCCAGAAGGCCAAGCATGACCTGAGTGTGGATCCTGAAATATATCTCCCATAATCCTCTGCACTGGGGATCTATGGCAGACCCAACCATGTGAAAAGGGGTGACCAGAGGCTGAGAACTTGAAAGCCCTAATTGAAGCAGTACCTATCCAAGCAGACGGCTCCCAGGCTGAAAAGGAGATGGGTCGTCTTCCAGCCTTCCGGCACCGTGGAGCCATCTCCGGCGGCGACGAGGCTGTGCTTAGCTGAGAGGACCTTGGTCACGGCAGCATCCACTTCGGCAGGAGTCAGCCTCCGAACCAGTTGGCCCAGGAGCCCCAAGGTCAAGTGGTAGGTTTCGTTCAAATGGCCAGCGTTGGAGATGACAACTTGAAACATGAGGGGGAGGATCTGGTCCAGGTTAATTAGGGACGCCGCCGAGCCCTACGGAGAGAAACAGGGGTGGGGTGGGGTGGGGTGGGGAAGCCGTCAGTAGAACTGGTGACGCCATCCACTTGATCTCCAGGCTTCTGCCTGTGAGATCCAAAATCCTTTTCTTAGTCTGCTTGAAAGCCAGTCTCAATGGAAGTGGTGGTGGAAAGGTAATGAAAGAAGCAGACCTCAAAATATCCCCACCTTTCTTTCATCGTAGAACTCAAGGTGATGTACATTTGGGGGGAGGTCTCTAGGCATCTCTCTCTAGGCACAGAACAGACACAAACTTGCTTAAGTTTATAGCAAGATGGCTCCATCAGGTGACCTTCAACCGGACACTGGGACCTGAGGCAAAAACTGGAGCCTGTTCAGACATTATCTAGTAAAGAGCAATCTCAGCCCAGCAAGTTTCTTAGGGAGAGGGCTTGCTGTCACGGCATCAACTAAATGTGGTTTAGCCAGGCAAGGACGTTACTGAGGGGAGAGGTTCTTGGTTTTGGTTTCTCTTAAGCAGTAGCTGTACAAATTCTTTGTCATTCCTTTCGGGCAGGCCAGGTGCCCCCAACCTTGTTAAAATCTTGAGAAGGTAGTGGACACACACACACACAAAAATGGCTGCAGCAGGGACAGGGTCCAACCACAAACTGCTGGGAGGCTCCCAGAGAAGTCGAGACACAAAGTCCTAAGCAGTTCTGAAGCACCATCCGATCTGAAGATTCAGAAAAACCAGGACTAGCCCTTTGCATCAGGGAAGAAGGAAGTGGGCACCCGGAAACATACTGGTGGGCATCACAGCATCTATTGGCACCATGCTGGGGAAATCGCTAGCTGCAGCAGGCAACTGGCTTTTTCATTTTAGAGTTAGCATTCATGGGAGCATTTCTTGCAGCACCTTTTAAAGAGACCCTGCACTTTCAGGCTAGAGCTCTCTCTAGGAGCACATTCATATGCCAAGGGAAAAAAGCAGCCCTGACTAGGGTTGCCAAGTCGAAATTTCTCCTTACCGGGGGACTCCCATGCCGCGGCTGGAGCGCGCGTGCGCGCCGCACGCACATCACCCAGAAGTGACGTGACGACACTGGGCACGCTGGGGGCAGGGCCATGACCATCTGAGGGAAAACCATAGAGTTTTCCCTCAGATGACCGTGGCCCCACCCCCAGCGTGCCTGGCGTGGTCGCGTCACTTCCGGGTGACGCGCACGTCGGGGTGGGGTTCCCCTGGGGCCCGATCCGCCGGCGGTGGAGGACAGGCCTCTGGGGCGGGGATTTCCCCGCCCCCCCGGGGGGACTTGGCAAGCCTAGCCCTGACAGAACAGCCTCAAATGCTAGTGGAACCTCTAAGTGTTCACAAGGCCTTCCTGGCATCTCTACTTTTCCTAATAGCCATTGTCCTTGTTTCCCTCTGACACATTCCCTTTGCTGCCTTCCCCAGTTTATGCCAGGTCTCTTACTGATTTCAAGGGAGGCAACATGGCTGCCAGCAAGCCAAGAATCCTCTTCTGGGAACATTCCGCGAAGGCCTGTTCTTGGCTCAGTGTCATCTTTTCATCAGCTGGTTTCGGAGGCAGAACTTTGGCAACTTGAGCATCTGTAACGAAGTTTCCCCAGGTTGAGTTGGAAGCTGCTGTGTGCCCCCACCCCACCCCGATTTTTAATTTTCATGGAAATAAATAGGAACAGATCTTTACCCGGTAGCTCTGGAGATACCCCCTCCTCTTTTGCAGCCAAGTCAGGTTTCAGTGCAAGTGCCTCTCTGTCTTGTGAACTCTCCTCTTTCTTTGGTGGAAGGCCATTGGAAGGCTCTGTCTTCATTTTCGGTTTCCCTTCTTGTTTGGTATCTACAGAGGCCTGAATTTCGTTAGCATTTCCATTCCCCTAGGAATAAATTACAGACTACATTGCAGCAAGTATCTCACTGTGTTTTCAGACAAAGTGAGCCCGGGGGGGGGGGGGGGTTTTTCCTGAAGTCTCCCCCTCCCACCTCCACACACACTCTCCAAGAACACCAGCAGGGCTGGTCTGAAGTTTTTATTTCAGCTCCCTACACTGGTGGTAGAAAAGCAGGAAGAGGGGGGAGGGCAAGACTGGCCTTTCCCATCAATACGGTGCTCCGCCTAACCCTGGCTCCGAGGCCATCGTGCTGCTGCCCAGGGTAGGCCAGAGAAGATGTACAAACAGCCATTTTCGGTGATTTTTTTGCCATTTGGGCGCACGAGTGTTCTATATGGAAAGAATCTGCGACTGAATGCCCCTCGGGTAAAAGTTGTGGCTGTCGTTTATTTACACGCCTGTACAGTAACCCATCCAGAAGAGCTCAAGGCAGCTGAGCAAATCGCCTACATCTTTTTCATTGGCTTACCTTTTCCCCCAAGGTAGCCAAGAATCTTTAAAGCCACCCAAAACAGTTCGCCTCGCAGTGCTTCTGGGAGGCGCCCTGGCTTTGGAGACAAGTAAACCCACGGTTTACTTGTAGAAGTGGGCAGAAGTCTGAGGGACAGCCGAGAAACGCCCCTCCTCTGTGCTTTGCCACTAAGTCCCCGCCCCCAAATTTAAAGTCAACCCAGATGTCCCAGCCCATCCAGGAAGTCTCAGAAAGGACTGACAAGCCATCGATACGTTTGCACCCATGGGCTTCCTTTAACTTTCTACAGGATCATAGGACACAAGTGGGGACCCACGATACTGACGGGGGGGATTCCTTCCCCGTATTAACTTTATTCCACCCCAGTTACTGCCAGCTAGGACAGGGAGAGCCCCCCCCAGCAAATACTGTAAAAAAAAAAACCCCATTGCAGCCACTGCTGCCAGGCTCCCCCTGACATTTATGCCAATGAGCCCAGCACGGTTCCAGGCCTCCAGCGCTAGGCCTGTGGCAGCTCTCAACGCCACTTTGCCATCAAGGCTTCTGTTGCCGGGCCTCCGCACTTGCACAGAGAATGCTGTTTTACTTTTGGTGAGATTTAACCCCCACTCTGATTATTATTATTATTGAAGATTTAAGATTTTTCTGCAAACCCAGGCAAACCCGCAGATGGGGGGGACGGGGACGTGCTGCTAATAGTATATAGATGGGTACCTGTGGAAGGGAATTAGACGATACTTAAAAAGAAAAAAGAATATTTACATTGAAATGGGTGAGAGATGCTGGTGCTGCCTTACTGCTGTCCTTGCCTTCTGTGCTAGTGTGGCTGTGCGTGTTACTGTCTGTGGAATAATCAATAGATGGCATCACATTTTCAGACAAAGATTCACCCTCTGGGAACACGTTGAGCAGAGCTAGAGCTTTCACACCTAGAGGTGGAGGGATAGAAAGTGAGATATTCAAGAGGAGGAGATTAACACACCAGATCGGCAGTTGCGTACAGGTTGCAGGCAGAAACGGGTATATCTGAATAAAGCGTCCTCAAGTGAAAGCAACCCACACAACAGAGGTCTGTGTGATTCGGGGCTGCAAGTCCACCGTTGCTCCTATATTCAGCAGTGACCATTTCAGCTGCAGCGACAGGGATGTTCTGCTCCCTCATGGAGGAAGGAAAGAGGCAGAATTCTTCCACCACCCCTGAAAAACACAGATCATATCTGGGAACTTTCTGCACAGGAATGCTGGGCTTGTCATAGGAGGGGGGTCAGGAAGGGCCATCTTTGCCTCTCAGAAGCAACATGATGCAGGAGCAGTGGTCTTCTACCCTCCGAGACTCCAGGCCCACCTTGAGCAGCACAGGACCCACTTGGTTTCGACTGCATGTCAGTTCAGTCATGCCAGTCATGTGATAGGAAGAGGCGGAGTCATGCTCCCTGAACCCTCCCATGCTAAAGAGAGACCCTCTCTATTGCTCAGTGGCCTGGCCTCACTATCCATGCCAAGAGCTCAGAAGGGGTGGCATCCTTGATCTCTCCAAAGGCACACTGACAGTTGGTCATCCCATTAATCAGCGGCTAATGAGAGACAGCACTGTATGGACTCAGCAGGAGAAACCCCACGATCTGAGGTCCCAACCCAAAGGCTGGAGGCAGCTGGGAGCAGAAGACTAATGTTCCATCATTCTAAGCAATGTGACCTAGCGTACTGGCTTGGAAGGGCTCTGACAGAGAGTAGATCCCTGCCTTCCCGTGAAGTTATAAGACATAGGAAGCATTCTAGAGAAGCCAGCCATAGAGCTCTGTGTCCCAGATAAGCCAGCCATAGGTAAGGGCTCAGAAGCACTGAAAGAGGATGCGCCATCTTGATATACCCCAGACCCAAGTTGGTATAGAGCAGGGGTGGCCAAACTATGGCTCGGGAGCCGCATGCGGCCCTTTCACACACATTGTGCGGCTCCCAGCAGGGCGGCTGGGGAAGACAAATCTCATTAGCAAACAAACATCATTGGGCAAATAATTATCATTATCGATGTCTGCTTTTACCGCTTTGTGTTATTATTTTGGCAGTCTCATTTAATGTTAATAAAAAAGCAAATCTGCATATTTCCCAGCAAAAACGTGTAATATCTGTCCATGTCTTGCGGCTCTCAACCATCTGACGTTTATTCTATGTGGCTCTTACGTTAAGCAAGTCTGGCCACCCCTGGTATAGAGGGGGAAAGAAAGCTTGGTGTGCATGCAAAGCCTGTGTCGGGATGCCTGGGTTCAAGAAACCACGGTCCCCCCCCCCCCCCCCTTTCACCTTTTCCATGCTGGGCTTTCACCAGGCAATCCCCGATAAGGCGAATGCACTCCTGCTGCAGGGCTCGGGCGTGGGAGACCACCGCGGGGTCAAGCGCCTCGCCTGCCACTTCCTCGCCGCTTGCCAAGTCCGCGCTGTAGAGCGTCAAAGCAGCAAACAGCAGCCAGGAGTAGTTGTGGAGGTACGGCTGGATGAGCCTGTGCTGATTACTGAGTCGAAGGGTCACCATCGGATACACCGTGATGCTGTGGGTGGGAAGGTGGCTGGAAAAGGATGAATGGACTTCAGGTTAAGACAGGCTGGCAGGCATTTTGCTTCACAAAACACCTGTCACTGCAGGGGGGGGTGTATGTGTAAGAACATGGGAACATAAGGAGACCTGCTGGATCAGACCAACGGTCCATCTAGTCCTGCATCCTGTCTCACAGTAGCCAACCAGCTCCTCGGGATGGCCCACAACAGGGCACGGAGGCCGAGGCCTTCCCCCTGATGTTGCCTCCTCCTGACTCTGGGATTCAGAGGATTAGTGCCTCTGAATGTGGAGGTTCCCCTAGATTCACCTGGCTAGTAGCCACCGATAGACCTAATCCTCCATGAATCTATCTAATCCCCTTTTAAAGCTGTTTATTCCTGTGGCCCTCACTACATCCTCTGGCAGCAAATCCCACATTTTAATCACTCCCTGTGTAAAGTAGCTATTTCCTTTTGTCCATCCAAAACCTACTGCCCATCAGCTTCACGGGATGCCCTTGAGTTGTAGTATTCGGGGACAGAGGGAAAATTGTCTATTTGTCAACTCTCTCCACCCCACGTATGGTATTTAGAGACACAGAAACTATCCTTGGCTGTCGGAGCTGGCTACCCAGCCCCAAGGATGGAGATCGGCAGACAATATCCCGAAGAGTATTCTCCATGGGAATGACAACAGCCATTCTACACTATGGACAGCCTCATCCTATGAGTCACCACTGCAGTGTGACAAAACCCTGGGAACTGGCTTTTAATAAATCCCATTTGAGGACAGGTACACGATGCCTTATGCCAAGCCAGACCGTTGCTCCATCTGGTCCAGTGCTGTCTACTCTCACCAGTAACAGCTCTCATAGGCAGAGGAAGACATTCTCAAGCACCTGCGTTTTCCCACTACGTGCAAAAGTAAATCACTGGCCACCAAGTCACAGCACTGCCACACACCTATGATTAGCATCTCCCCCCACCGTTTTATTTTCACAGTCACCCCCCACCGTTTTATTTTCACAGTCACCCTGCGAGGTGAGTTAGGACTGACAGCAACTTGTCCAAGGTCGGATTTGAGCGCAGGGTCTCTTTCATCCGAATATAAAATTCAATTAACTAAGCCACATAGGTGCTCCTATTCTCTCTTAATTGGTAATGTCAAGGTGGGTGTTTTTGTAGGACGGTCACAGCCTCTCCTGTCATCCAACAGGGAGGAGGGGCAGGAGAGACAGCACTGCTTTTTGGAAAACGGGGAAGATGAAGGGAGAGGCTTGGCAAGCTGGGTGTAAACGCAGGTCACAACACGTGGTCACTGGGACAATTCGCTGCTTCGAACGGCCTTCCCCACACCAGCATGTGGTGGTAGTACCACGGAGATGCAAGGCCAGAGGTCATTTCGGGGGGGACCGCGGGGGATCGCAGTTCCCCCGGGTGAGGTATGGGGGGACGGGGCACACGACAAAGCCCTGCCCCCTGCTTCCGTCCGCCCCGCTTCCGGCCCTCATTCAGCCAGGAGGCGGCAGGAGAAGAGGGAGGGTAAGTTGCTTCCTCCCTGCCTCTCCCCACCCCTGCCTGCCTGGGGTCAGGGAGAGCCTTCGCGGGGCTTCCTTGCACTCCCGCCGGCCTTGCAGATCCACCGCTGGGCCCCTCATGGGGCTCGGCAGTGGAGCTGCAAGGCCGGCGGTGGCGGCCGGGACCGTTGGAGGCAGGGTGTGTGGCCTTATGACACACTTCTGGTGATGTCAGGGGGTGTGACATATGCTAATGAGTTATGCTAATGAGTTCCCCTAGCTCTTTTTCTACGAAACGACCCCTGTGCCCGCATTTTTAAAACTCAAACCTCTCCTGTGGAATGAGGGCACATCAGTACCTATCAGAGTACTTCTTGGCAGAGTAACACCCGAGGCAGAAGTCAAAGTCTTCGCACACGTTACAATTAATACGCTGGCCCACGATGATCCCTCGGCAGTGATCGCAGGCATACTCCATGTTAACCATTTCGTGGCTGTCCTCGTGACCTTCGGGTTTCACTCCACCTGGACAAGGTAGGAAAAAATAAATGTTAAGTGGAACAGCAGGGATGTACAAACCCCATCTCGCTACCTTTTCCCACAGTGCAAATGTATGCTCTGGTTCCTCTGCTTTAGAACAGGCCAAGAGCTTCTAAGGGTTAGGGGTTGCAGACCTAAACAGGGCTCTTTTTGTAGAAAAAGCCCAGCAGGAACTCATTAGCATAATAGGCCACACCCAACAGCAGAAACTCATTAGCATATTAGGCCACACCCCTGACAGCACAGCTCATTAGCACATCAGGCCGCACCCCCATGTTACCAGAAGTGCGGTCATCTAGCCACACCCACCTTTTGCTTCTTATTCTGTTTACCTTGTTTGTTGTCAAAACCCAGGGCTTTTTTTTGTAGCAGGGACTCCTTTGCATGTTAGGCCACACACCCCTAATGTAGCCAATCCTAATGAGTTTCTGCTGTTGGGTGTGGCCTATTATGCTAATGAGTTCCTGCTGGGCGTGGCCAACTTGGGAGCCAGCCGGAACTCCGTTCCTGTGCGTTCCTGCCCCAAAATAGCCCTGCCTAAAAATCTTCATATGACTGAGAACCACAAGCCAACAAAACCCCCGTTGCTTGGATCCTTCTATGAGCTAGTCTGAGGAATTTTGCACCCATTAACTACTATCCCTGCTGGAAGAGACCAAAGGTCCATCTGGGCCACTCTTCAACAGTAGTCAAACAGATGCATCTAGGAAGCATATACACAAAATCAAGAAAAAAGCCATTCATCTTTGTCATCTGTCCCAACATATAATGTTTTGAGGTACAGTGCCTCTGAACGTGAAGATTAACACAGGCTGGGGGGAAAATGCTAATGACTTAGCTCTGTACCTAAACCTGCCCCTGCAATCTCTTTAGTGCTCTTCGCACCTCTCCTTTTCCCGTTCTGAAACATTTGGGAGGGAATGGAGGAAAACCGAGAGTTGTTTCTCTCTGTTGTGAAGCCTCCAGGTCCAAAAATAGCAGTCCTGGGGAATCCTATCACTTCTGCCCGTAAGTCCCCTCTACTTCCATCCCCTTGCTAAACATTCTTATATCCCCCCATTTCACTGACCTCCCTCCAACTGAGACTGGATGACATGGTTCACCTTGTAAACCTAGGAAACTGATATGCAGCACGACAAAGCCTAATGCTAAAATATCTCTTTTTGAAGTTTGATTTTTATTTATTTTTACAAAATGCTGTTTCAGTGGAAACTCAACATGTCCTTAAGAAAGTTATGGCTTTTCTGGCAGCTGGCTTACCCAAGAAGCATGTCTTACAAAGATCCATATCATTGCACTGCAAGCAGCGGTAACGGTGCCAGGGCGCAATCTCATCACACCCATCGCACGATATGTCGACATGCAACAGATCGCAGTAGCGGGCAATGAACATATGCATCTGGAACGAGACAGACACGGTTTTCCTTGGCAGTGTTCGCAAAAGCCTTTTTGTGTGTGTGACATAAATGGTACAAGATGAGTTACCCAAGCTTGAGAGAGCCGTGACTGTATGGGAATAATTAAGGAACCAGCTGGGCTGCGCAGCCTCTGGGTAATGGAACAGGAGCTGGGCCCTTTTCCCAACTCATCAGGAAACGGTAAGCAGGAGAAGATGAAGCTTTCTTTAAAAAAAAAAAAGTGCTTCACAAAGAGAACAGATGGGATGAATACATCTCAGAGTTTGCCTCTTCCTCTAAACATGCCTACACAACAGCACTCTCAGTTATAACACCCACAGAGATCCTAGTATGAACCCCTAGGAAGGACTTAGAAATCTTTTCCACGGCTGGCCTGCGACTGCGCAGTCCTATGCTACGACGAAGAACCCTAGTCTGCTGCAATCGAAACAAGAAACTCTTGCAGCACCTTAAGGAGAAACGGATTTATTGCCGCATATGAAAGGGCAGTGGCTCAAGGAGAGAGCCCCAACTCTGCTGGGAACAGGCGGCCCAGGCTCAATTTCTGACATTTCCAGTTACAGGATCTCAGGTAGGCAGCTGGTGTTGGGAGAGACCTTTCCCTGCAGGAGTGCTGCCAAATCTGAGCCGGCTGTATCAATTTGGTATAAGGCAGTTTTGTGATGTGGCACAAGACTCCTTGTTGCTAAGGAAGACTGAGCTTCCAGGGGCTGATTCAGACACAGCAGCTGATACTCCTGGGATCATTTTCTGACAAGTTCTCATGAACGTATATGTACATTTAGAGCTGGTTAAACATGTCCCCCTCTTCAGGGATGTTCCTATGGAGTCCCTTTTCAGGGGTTCAAGAAGGTTCCATATGAGGGGCGTACACTAACTTCCAGGTCCATCAAGACTGTACAGTGTGGACTAGCGGGGAAGTAGCAGTACGTGCCCAATTAACACAGAAAAAGAAACGGGACAGCCATAATGATTCTTATTCTTTCTATAGCACTTTTCAGAAAACTGCTGTAAGACTGAATCTCAACTCCGCCAACGATCAACTTGATGACCTTATGTAAGCCACCATCACCACCCACCTCCTCAGGCAGAAAGCGAGAGTCCCTGTCTATTTCTATAAGCAAAAAATAGCAAAGGTGGAAAGGGCTAAAGCACCTCCACTCATACAAAGCCCCAATCGAAATTACTGCAGCATGCAGCTATTTACCTTTAGAAACAATAAGATCTGTCCACACATCTTCAAGGCCCTTAGTGGTCAGTGACCTACATATCCCTTCGGGACCTCTTCTCTCAGTATGCCCCTAGAAGAACCTTATGCTCAGGGAGTAAGAACTTCCTGGTTATCCCCAGCCTGAGAGAGATCCAGCTGTCCTCAACCAGGGCCAGGGCTTTTTTGGCCCTGGTCTCCACCTGGTAGAACTCTCTCTGCTGGAAAACATCCATGCCTTGCAGGAATTTCCACAGGGCATGTAAGGCAGAGATGTTCTGCCAGGCATTCAGTTGAGGACAGCAATGGGACACTATGACATCTAGCACGCTCATAAACTCCCCCGATCACTCACAACCAATGTTCCCTCTAAGCTGTGGAGTCCTGTGAGCAAAAATTCCACTTTGTGAGCTACTGGCATTAAAATTGTGAGCGAGTGATTTGGCTGCTGCATAAATTAGTTTGTTCTGGAGCCATCCTTCCCGAGCTGAGACAAAAATGTGTGAGCCGGAGGCTAAAAAACTGTGAGCTAGCTCACACTAACTCAGCTTAGAGGGAACACTGCTCACAACCAGTGTTCCTTCTAAGCTGAGTTAGTGTGAGCTAGCTCACAGTCTTCCAGCCTCCAGCTCACACGTTTTTGTCTTAGCTCAGGAAGGGACGGCTCCAGAGCAAACTAATTTATGCAGTAGCCAAATCGCTCGCTCACCACTTTAATGCCAGTCACTCACAAAGACTCCACGGCTTAGAGGGAGCATTGCCCACAACGCCCCCCACCCACCCACCCAGAGGCCGGGGAGCCGAATTTCCCCCACCATCTTGGACTGCATACCGTTTTATTTATTGATCTGTTTTCGAGTAGTTTTAATGTTGGTTTTAAGTTAAATTATTTATTGTATGCTGTTCTATTGTAAGCCACCCTGAGCTCTACTTGTAGGGCAGGGCAGCCTAGTAAATCTAAGTTTAAATAAATAAATAAATAAATAAATCTCCCGCCGCCACCTCTAGTCAGGCCCTAAAAATCTCACATTCCATTTTTTTCCAAAACACACATGCTAGTCTCTGGGCCTCATGGTTGTGAAGATATGCTTGAAAATGCAGGAGTAGAGAGTTTCTGCAGCAACAATTGGATCCAACAGGAGAAGAGGATGAGAAGAGCAACAAGGGAAGTGATGATGAAGCACTTAGCCCCGTGTGGTTTCATTACCCCTTCAGGATTTCCTTCTTCCCAGGAGGTGTGAGGAGGGAAGTATTCCGTTGGGTTCCATCTCCAAAGACAGCCATTTTGGGGTGGTGCTCACCACCCCCTCACAGCCTCAAAAAGGTTGGGGACCCCTAGTCCAGACAATGTACTTCAGCTTCTCACTCCACAGTATTGTTAACGGTTGGATGCAAAACTAGTTCTTTTCAGTTTGAAGTACACAGCCCCGTTGTTAATCCTTGGCTTGCCTTTTAATGAAAAAAGGGGCAATTTTGTGTTTCCCTGGAAGGCACAGTACACAGTTGCCTACAGAAACACATCCCCTGAAAGACCAGGAGAATTACAGCAAGGATAAGAGGCAGACATTTGAAATCCCATGCAAGTATCAGAGCTGAGGATGAAGTCCCAAAAAAGCACTGAAGTGATCAATTCCAGGTTCAGCGTACATCAAGTAACTGATGGTATGGGCTCAAGTTCACACAATTTTATGCCTCTACAAATCCATTTGCTTTTTGTTCTTACTGCAAGAGACTAACATGGACCACCAGGTCTGATCCAACAGGGGGCCTTTTATTCTTTATTCAGTTGTTATTTCTTCCTTCATCTAGCTACAATTAATTCGGGGGGGGGGGGGGAATGCTTCACTTTTAAGAGCCGCAGGAGTCACATTGCACTCTTAGGACTTTTTACCCTGCTTCCACTGTGGTAGCAACTCCCCTAGTATTGATTCTAGAAGTCCCACTTTCCTGAAGCAGGTGGCAAGAATTGCCTGTCTCAGAGGATGGTGTTCTCTCCCCATGACCGAGAACATGAACTACCCGAAATCCCTCCTTTTACACCCCATAAAAGTGAAAGGAGTGGTCTGCAGTTGTATTTCTCTCTGCTTTGATCCCCTTCTCCTTTTGTCTAACAAAACTGATTAGTGCAACCCACTTCACCTTAGGGTGAGCCCCCACTGTTGGAAGACCAACGGCTCAAAGATCTACCTCTTCATCACGCAAGCATCCAGGACGAAAACTTTTTCTTACCTTTCTCTGCTTCTCTGGATCCGCTTGGCTTATCTTGTCACACCAGGCCTCAAAGATTCCATCTTGGCACTCATCCATCCACTCCGAGTTCTGTCTGTAGTCTGCAATTTCGTCTTCTTCGCTCCACTGACTAAGAACGGGCAGAGAAATTAGAGGCTGCTGTAAGAATGACAGCAGTTTAAGGACCCAGCAGAAAAAAGCAGAAAAGCCATCCCCAGGTCATATGAAGTCATAGACACCAAACCCACCTCTTGAGGGCCGTGGCTCGCAAAGGTTGCAGACAGCTTTTCTCGCTAAGTTGGAGGGTGTCCAGTAGATGTCAAAGAAATGAGTGTGTGTGTGTGTGGGCCCCTGAATATTAGCAATTTCTTCATACACTTCTAGAACACTGTTGCCAAGCTCAAGGATCCCTGCCTAAGAACTACTGGCATCAGAAACATACACAGTAAAGCATAATTCGAGTTCAGGAAGAGACACCAACAGAATGTTTCATGGTTTTTAGTTCTCATAAGTCAAAGTTCACTTCATCAGACTCATGAAGGGCGTATAGCCTGGAAAATTTTGTTTGCTTATGGACTTGAATTTTGTTCTGCTACTACAGACTGACATGGCTGCCCCACCTGATAAAACTTAAATGAGAACAGATAGCTCAGATTTGGAAACCTACTTATAACAAATGCTTTCCTTAGGGAGGAGATTCTGGAAAGGCCGGGTACAAATTATCTAACACAAATTATCTTCCTCTGACATGATTAAGTATCCTACATGCTCAGTCACAGTACCTTTTCACAGGTCACTTAAGCACAATAGTGATCTCGGAAAGCCATGAAGAATCCAAGGTGGGCAAGTTCTGAGCTCTTTTAGCCAACAGACACCTCAAGAGGACCATGGACCACCTCTACCTCTAACACAAACACTGCATTTTCAGTTGAAATTCTTCACTATTTGACAACTACGGCCCCTGCCAACTTACCAAATGATACTGTCGTAGGTACTTATGTTTTCCTGTGACATGGTCATGAGGAGCTGTGGCAGCTGTATTTCAATGAAGAAGGAAAGGTCGCGGGGCTCCCAACCCATATCCAAGAGGTGAAGGATGGATGCTTGCACACAGGACAAGGCAGGGAGCAGTGATCTAAGCAAATTGGGAAGACAAAGCAGGACAATTGATTAGAACTCTCAGGAGCACTAAGGCTGTGATCAATTAAAAGAAGGGAGAACGGACTAAAAAAATAAAGACCATGCTTTGATAAGGTAATCCACAATGAAGCCATCTTGGCTGCTCTGCCAGAACCATCAACTGCATGTAAGGATCAAAGGAGGATCAAAAATTTCTCTACACCCAACAAAAAAAATGTATTGTAGCACCTTAAAAACGAACATTTATTGTGGTATAAGCTTTTGAGGACCAGACTTCACTTTATACAACATATGAAATGTTGGCATGTAAACAATGTGTTATACACACACAATCAACAGAGGGGGAAAACTAAACAGTGGTGTCAAAAGGGAATGAAATACAAAGAAAGAGTTTGGCATATCTTTGCTAGGCTCAACAGATATTACTGCCGCTGTGAAGGGGCAGTCCTATTGTCTTTAATACTTCTGAGTTTTGGTCTGAATTGTCACAGACTGTACCTCTAGTATTCCATTGCATTTGGACCTCACAGTTAACTGTTTTCCCTCTAATGTACACAATATGCCAACTGAAGCTACACATCATGAAAGTTTATGCAACAATAAATACGCTGCTCTTTACAACACCACAAAGCTTTTTAAATTTCTAATTCAGAATACAGCTGCCTACTTTAGCAGTAAGAGACTATCTTATGGGGTGCAGATGAGAGCAAAAAACCTCTGGCTAAACAAGGAATCAGCGACAGACTGCGGAAGGCCAAAAAGCCTACAAAGAGAGCCGGGCATGCTTAGAAGTGAGCGATTGTCCGTACTTGTCATCATCGAGGCTGCTAAATCCTTTGACGGCATCGACCAAAAAGAAAAGCAGCTGGTAGTAAGATTCCCGTATTTCTTGATGTAGCTCAGCACCGCAACCTTCGAGGTGTCCGAAGTAACTGGGAAAAGAGAGAGACGGGGTTGCTCAACTGTGACTATAATCCCGGCATTATGAAAGACCTCACCGCAATGTTTATTTTGAGCTGGCAGCGTATCTGCAGCTGCCACGGTGGCTTAGACTGTACCATACCCCTGCACTGTCTTTTTTGCACCAACCTTTTCTAATGCCTGGTTCACACCAGGGCTATTTTTGGGCAGGAACGCACAGCAGGAACTCATTAGCATAATAGGCCACACCCAATAGCAGAAACTCATTAGGATTGGCTACATTAGGGGTGTGTGGCCTAACATGCAAAGGAGTTCCTGCTACAAAAAAAGCTCTGGGTTTTGACAACAAACAAGGTAAACAGAATAAGAAGGGAAAGGTGGGTGTGGCTGGATGACCACACTTCTGGTAACATGGGGGTGTGGCCTAATGTGCTAATGAGCAGTGCTGTCAGGGGTGTGGCCTAATATGCTAATGAGTTTTGCTGTTGGGTGTGGCCTATTATGCTAATAAGTTCCTGCTGGGCTTTTTCTACAAAAAGAGACAGGTTCACACATTCATGTGGCAGAGCCGACTGCACTGCTTAAGACTGCAGGAGGAGAATTCTAGGTTTAAGGATCTCTTTTGTGACACCAATTCCGGCTTTAATCTCTGCCTCACGCGCTCACCCTCCTCTCATAAATGGAGCCAAAATTATAGACCAACTCGGCTGCAGCATCTGAATTTCGGCTCTAACAAACTGCAGTTCTTTCCTTGTCTACGAAGTGGGATTGTAAAGCAGGGTTCAGTCCTGGTTTAGAATCACAGTTTGTGCCCAAGAAACAAATCACAACTGGTTAAACTGTGTACATGAAAGAAAGTAAGCTATGTAACATGAGCAAGACCAGAGGACATACACTGCTAATGGGACACTGCACATACCAAGGCTGTGCATTTTTTTAAAAAACTGGGACAGATGATGAATATTAATTGACAGCAAAGACAATGATTTCCATGTCATGAAGAAATGTTGTCCCGGCCCACATCCTGACAATGGTGCTCCACATCCTCCTGTCTCTGTATGTAGCTTCCTGTCTCTGTATGTAGCTTTGTGTTAATCCAACCTTTTCCTTGGCTCCTTCCTTCTTTAATGTCACGAGTCCAACATTGTTCCCCTAAAGAAATGATGTCGGGTGTAAAGTGTTCTACCTCACACATATGTAAATATAGTCTGCCTACAGTTGTGGGGGCTGTTGTGCTGCAAATCAATCATGCTGACAATCTAAATATAGGATATGAAGCACTGACAAACCCATGCTCAGTTCAGCTGGAGGAATTGAAATGTAAAGTATGACAGCCTCCCCCCCCCCCTGCACAATGCAGTTGCCTCCTGGGTCTGGACCGGACTTGTCCAGGCTTGTCCATGTTGTACTTACCTTCCTTTCCTAACATTCAATTGTTTTCAGGAAAACCCACATTACTGCCCTAAAGCCCTGCGTAAAGTTTCAGCAGCTTTGCTCTGTGAACAGCCGGAACGTTTATGAACATTCCACACCAGCTCCACCAAATGAAGAAGTATCACTAAGGGTATGAGTCAACAGAAACCACTGATTTCAGTGGGACTTGAAAATGCTTGTACATTGGTTGAATCACATCTCCAAAGCCTGGAACCAAATGCATAAACTGAACAGTCCGGTTTTTTTTTAAAAAAACCCATGTATTCTATCTGTACCTTTGAAACACATCCAGGTTGTCATCACACACCACGAATGAAAACTAAATGAACAAATCTATGCACCGTAAATTGGATTTCCTATATGTCTTACTTTGTGAAGTCTTTTTGGCAAGCAAGGAGTTCCAACAGAAAAAGAATGCAGCGTGGGAGGAAACAGTGAGGTTGGCCGAGAGATTTTAGGCACTGGTGAATTGTCTTCAGGACTTCCAAGATATCTTTGGCTTGAGCTTTTCTTAAAGCAAGAACCTCCAACACACTAGAATTAAAACACACACCACACACGGGTGATTACAGGGCATTTACTGAGTAGAACAAATGGGGGCAATGGTATCGGAACAGGAGGATCAAGCAGCTAATCAGATTTTCCTTCTATAAAACAGCTGTACCCACCCTTTCAGTCACAACAGGTCTCTAAAGCAGTTCACAACAAAAATGGGGGGGGGGGAAACAACACGTAAATTATAAATATGACAGGATAGAATAAAAGGGGCACTAGAACAGCAAGAGCAACAAAGCCCATTCTTAAATGCCAAAGGCTCTGACAAATTAAAACTCTTCCAATGTGTAGTCTGAGACACAAGAAGGTTGCAAAGGCTTGGTAGTGGCACCAGGATATGGGTTTCCAATGAAAGCTTTAGCAGACAGATGGGGGATCGTATGGCTGTTCTTTTCTGAGGATACTTACTTTCAAAAATGTTGAGTTGTATACCAAGACTGGGGTGGAGGGGGGTGGGGGGGCAACTCTTGCTTGCAGTACTAAACTAAACTAACTAAAACCTGGCCAGTGTCACATCTGCAAGGAGAAACTTTACTATAAACACTCTCTTGGCTCACGTCTGCTTCACATCAATTGCATTTTTATCCCACCGTTCCTCCAAGACGCTCAGGGTAGCATATATGGTACTCCCCTCTTCAATTTTTCCCATTCCCAAGAACCTCGAGGGGTAGGCTAAACTGTGTGTGACTGGCCCAAAGCCACACACAGCCACTACCAGAGGCCAAATGAAGATATAAACTTCAGTCTTAGTCAAACACTCTAACTCAGCCGCAACTTGGTTCTCAGAATGAAGCGTGGAGCTTCTGGTCAGGTGCCTATCAACTTTCACCCACCCAGCCAAGTCTTAGGTCGAATCTGCATTTTTAAATTAGTTTCGTGCTTCTGTGACGCCGTCTTTCTCTATGCTTGTTTGAAAGCTGTTTGGAGAAGATTCATTTAAAGCAGTTCAGAGGCGCAATTACAATGGAGCCGCCGTGAGAGGGCGATAAACATATGCAGACAGGCGAAAGTATGCTCGCACAGCTGAAGTGTGAAAACGAAAGCAAATGTAGATAGTTTTTTTGAAGACGGAGTCAGAAGGTTGGGACACTGGTGGGAAAGACAAATGCAGATTCGGCCTTAGTCTGCTAGGCCTCGTTTATTTATTATTTTTTAATTATATATTTTTATTTACTAGGCCTCGTTTATGATGCCTACAAATCCCTCACGCCTATGCCTCCCTCTTCCCATTTTTTAAAAGCAATTCTGACTGACAACCCCTAGCCTGCCTCCCCCAATACTACCCCTTTCTTCTGGCACTCTGTGCAATCCATCCTGAAGGTATATCTGTTTTTAAGCAGAGATCTATACCCAGTTCCAAGCATGGACTAGCATGACCGCAAAAGCCCACAAGCTGGCTCACCTTCCGTGACAAAGAGACGGGTCCTTAATGAAATCTAAGACATGCTTCAGGATAGGGTATTTCTCCTTGATGCTGGGTGTGGCTTTGGGCTCTTCCATCGAACGGAAAGAGAGAAGCCGTAGCCTTCCACGGCTAAACGGAGGCTTGCGTGTGGGAGTGGAGGGAGGGGACGAGGCGTCATCTGGCTGCGAGGCACCGCTATCGAGCGGTTTGCTTGGGGAGGCCGAGGCTTTTTCTGCCTGTGGTGAATCCGGGGATTGCTTTCTTACATCTCCTGCTTGACTGCCCTCTGGGGAGGCAGAACCGGTCATCCTGCAGGCAGGTGCTGCATCTGCAGCCTGAAAGTCCGCTTCGATCACAGAGCTTGTCCTTCGGCGCTTGTCTTTGTGGCACTGTCCAAAGTCCTCCATGCTATCGGAGTCATGGCTTTCTGCCTTGGTCCTTGCGGGTAGGAAATTCAGCAATAAAAGGCTCTTCTGGATGCACTGCTGTGCTACAATGTAAGGACAATGGAAAATCATGAGAACCGCTTGAATTGAAAGGCGCAGGCGAAATGTTCCGTTAAAGTCCGGCTTGCACCAACAGCTATTTAGAACCCCAAATGGAGTTAGCGATTCAAATGCAGATGAAGCCACTGATTTATAGCTTGTTTGCTTTCTATTTCCTCCTGTTTCTGTAGGGCAAGGACACCACAGGGGGAGCGATAGCTGTAACTACAGCTTATTGATTCCTACATGACACCAAACCAAAGCTGGATAAACATATGGAGCAGAGGTCCATCAGTAGCTATTAGCCACAAGGCTGGGGGAGGTGATGCACTGTATTCTTGGTGCTTGGGGGGGGGGCAAGAGTGGGAGGGCTTCTAGTGTCCTGGCCCCACTGTTGGACCTCCTGATGGCACCTGGTATTTTTGGCCACTGTGTGACAGAGTGTTGGACTGGATGGGCCATTGGCCTGATCCAACACTGGCTTCTCTTATGTTCTTATGTTCCTGATTCAGGTTTGCTAGCTGACTGCACCAATTCTCTGGACACTGCCACCATGTTGTGGAACAGGAAGAGGATCAGTCTGGACAAAGGAGGACTTCAGATTAGGACACTTCCCCGGAGATCACTCACCACTCCACAAATGATCCCACACCAGCCCAAGCCTAGAGAACCCCAAATGCAGCCCTCTATAATGTCGCACACTGTAGAAAGGAAACAGAAACAGAAGCAAAGCGTGATAATGTGCAAAGACACTTACCAAGAGTTTCTGGGTTCACCTCGCTTGCCTCCCCAGCCGGCTTCTCTTCCCGGTCACTTCCCTGGTCCACGAGGGACTTCTGCTTCATTTCTAGCTGTAGGGAGGATATGGAAATCGTTCACAGTACCCTCAGAATTGTCTTGCCTAGAATGCATTTTCAGCAAGCAGAATTAGAGAGTCCCAAGAGGCTGCAGATTCGACGGATGCATTAGGCTTTCAAAAAGCCCAAGGAAGTCTTCGGCCACCAATTTCATGTACATAAGGTACTTCCCCTGGAAATTAACATGACCAGACATGTAGATCGTCAGCCCTGTTTTCAAAGGTTTCTTGATGCCTATACAAAACTGCAGTTTTCCATGTGATTTTACTACATGTGCGAAGCAAGCCTGAGGCCTCATTCTCACTGGGGGACTAGTCACCCTGTGCCTAGACAATCAGACAGGTGATGGTCCATACAACTGGGTGGCCTGATGTATAAAAACATGCCCTGCATAACTGTTAGAAGGAGTTCTTAAAAAAAAAAAGCCTTCTCCCTGACAAGCTACTTTTCTATATTCAAGCGATCTGTTTATTTTACATTACAGGGCATTCATTTGTGAATTCCCACCTACAGTCTGAAATGCTACAATCCAGGAACAGGTCTACCACTTCCGCGGTACACTGAGTGCGCAAGTTCAGAAACAACGAAGAATAAAATCTCAAGTGCCTAAAAATTATTTTTTTTAAAAACAGTTTTATTAAAGAACAAGGCAGGAAATGAAGAACTAACAGAATTTTATGGCAGATATTCTCCAGCAGGGGAAGGCTCAATATGCTAAGCTCTGTCCCACCTTCTGGCTACAAAGGACAGGGTCTTCTCAGTGGTGGTGCCTTAACTGTAAAATGCCCAGCGCACAGGACTTTAATTGGTGCCCAGTTTGCGGTCTTTTCAGGTACCAGTGGAAAACATTTTGTTTGGTCAGGATTTGTAGCATGTTCCCTGTTAGTCTGACAGGGCACCTCCCCCCCTCCCCCAAAATCCCTGTAGGACAAAAACTTTAATACCGCTTCTGCATTTATAGTGTTGATTATCTATTACTCCCTATTATATTCCATGCTGCTTTTTAAACCACTGTTTTAACTTGCCTTTTTAAGGGATATTAAACGTCCTAAAAACCAATTTATTTGCTGTCAAGCTTCAGCTGACATACTGCAACCCCATAGGGTTTTCAAGGCAAAAGACGGACAGAGGTGGTTTGCCACTGCCTGCCTCTGCATAGTGACCCTCGACTTCCCCAGTGGTCTCCCATCCAAAAACTAACCAGGGCCAACCCTGCTTAGCTTCTCAGATCTGACGAGATCAGGCTGCCCGAGGCTACCCGAGTTACAGTTCTTTTTATTGTAAGTTGCTGCAAACATAATGCATGGAGCAAATACTTAAATAAGTGCACAAATAAATAATTAAAAGCATACCATCCATATTCTGATCCCATCAGCTAGGGAATATACTTGTGCAAACTCATCACTCAAAAGTGCTTTGCCTCCGCTGGTGACTGTGAGGGCAGAGAGGGAGAGGGAGAGAGAAATAAAGGTAGAAAAACAAAACCCTTTTAAGCCAGTCAATCTGATTCTACAGCCAACATTGAGGGCTAAAGGAAATAACAGCAGAGGCTCTGACTGGACCTCTGCCACTACTGCCTCAAGTAGTACAACATGGACACATGAAGCTGACTTACACTGAATCAGACCACTGGCCCCATCAAGGTCACTCTTGTCTACTCAGACTGGCAGAGGCTCTCCAGGGTCTCAGGTAGGGGTCTCTCCCATCACCTACTGCTTGGTCTTTTTAAATGGAGATGCCGGGGATTGAACCTGTGGCCTTCTACATGCAAAGCAGAGACTTCCGCTGACTCACAGACTGCACCATTTCAGGACTGAACCTAGAACCAGATCCGTAGCTTCATGCTTTTCTCACGGACAGTTAAATCTCTCATCATTCTCAGTTCAGACAAACTTGAAATTATTAGTAAATGAAAAGCAGTCTTTGAAACGTTTTTTTTCCTAGGCCTCAAGCAGCTCTCTCAAAGAGAAGCACCACTGATCCTGTGACCCAAGAACAATAGAAGCAACATCTACTGTGACCCAAACATTTTTTTAAAGAAACAGAGCCACTCTTTAAAATGAAATAGCAGCCTAAAGTTGGTTGTGAGAGAGAGTTCATCTTCTGACCCTTTGACTCCTTCAACTCCCAGGCACTGAACTGAAGCCGTCTCGGCTGTATGTGGTTTCTAGAAAACCCAACACTCATTCCTACTCCCTTCACGGGACCCTCAGCCTCCAAATCTTCTGCCTTTCTTTGTAAGAAGGATCCTATTATGTAATTTCTGCAGCGCTTAATGTGTTAGGCTAATACTTGTGCTATGTTTCGGTTCTTTCTGGTGGTTCCAGACTTCTAAAATCGTAACGCACTGTCTATTAATTGTCCCATTTGGTTGACTGTACTGACTTACTGTATGTAATCCACCTTGAGTCCCTGTGCTGAAGGTGGACAATAAATAATGTAAATATTTTTTTTTTAATGGTAGATTTTTCTTTTGGACCAGCCTGGCTGACAACTTCTTTCTGCTGTAGAGAAAAGCATGACCGACTAGGTGGACCTCTGGGCTGGTGTATCATCACTGGTCCTGTGCCTGTTGTTTTAACACAGTTGCTTTAACTTTTTTCATGATCCTTTTTTCATGAACTAGCAGGGGGAGGGGAAGAGAAGAACTACATGACATAAGGGTATAGGCCAGTGGTGGCGAACCTATGGCACGGGTGCTAGAGGTGGCACTCAGAGCCCTCTCTGTTGGCACGTGTGCAATCGCCCCAGCCAGGCCCAAACCATCGTTAAAGTGTCGAATTCTCTGCCAAACCATTTTAAGTAAATTAAAGCATCTGGGATTGCTTTCCTTACTTTGTTTGGATCTAAGTTAATGTATGAGTTGTTTTTTCTAAAGTAAAACCTCAGTATTCAGGTTAAATCGCCGTGTTGGCACTTTGCGATAAATAAGTGGGTTTTAGGTCGCAGTTTGGGCACTCGGTCTCTAAAAGGTTCGCCATCACTGGTATAGGCCAAGGGTTCTAAAAGTACAAGATCCGCCTCCCTCACGAGGTACGGATTTACTTTTTAATACATTTCCATGCCTACATCCTTCTTCTAAGGAGTTCAGGGCTACACGATTCTACCTTCTCAATTTATCCACACAACAACCCTATGAGGTAGTGGTTAGACTGAGAGAGACTCTCTGGTTCAAGGTCATCCAGTGATGCTTTGTGGCAAATGGGGATCCGACCTAGGTCTCCCAAGGCCAGCACACTACACAGCAGAGGCAGGACAGTCTTTCAGAGTCCCACTGAAACAAAGATGCTGGATTTATCGTGCTACTCTCCTCTTGCTAATGAAAAATGAGTCGACTGCTGTGTGGATCACACTGAGCACCTGCCTAATTTTTCACTCGCTTTGCTCAGTCGTGTGAACGAGTTTGGGGACCCTTTCACTACCTCGGTTACATGGGGTCCTCCCATGGAAAAAATTCTGGATTCGTGACAAAACAAGGGTTAGTTATCACAACTCTTAACAAGAGTGCAAACCAGAGTTTGTGGTCTGGACATAACAATTAGCTATGGTTTTCCATGAGTCTTCAAGTCTTTCACTGGCCACGTAGGAGGAGGAGAACATACAAGCTGAACCCCCAGACTCTTAAATGGCAAACCACAGATTACGTTATGTCTGAACAAGGCTCGTAAGACAAGGGCAAAATTTCACAAAACGAAATTTTCACCCATCTTACCTTTGAAGAGACTTGGGCCAATTACTTTTGATTCGCTAAGGTATACTACTCTGTTGATGTACAAAATGTCAAACAATGCATGGAGGGGTCTTACAAATGCACTCAGGCATTGGCAAGATCAAATACTGCAATACTCTGGGGAAAACATCAGCTGTATGAAACATTTTTTCAGAATAACATTGTATTAGCTCGGGAGGTCAAAATAAAATTAATTCTATAACAACAAATCTTCCTGAGCGGGGAAAGTCACAAGTGACTTCTTGTCATTTCAAAAGCAGCCGTGTTAACTGAACTAAGGACTAAGGTTTCTCCTCCTACGTCAAAATGATACCTGATGTGTGTCAAGAGGAGCAAATGTTATTTGGAACGAACATGCAAGCTTGCTTTTGACAGCTGAATTATATCAATTAGAGCAGTAGCCTTTGTTATGAATAAATATTCACTAATGCAGGAGTTACCATAT